GATTTGGTTATATGGTAATCATGAAGTCTCTCATTGTTTTATAAAACACGAGTTCCAGGAATAAATTCTTCTTTTGAAAGTCTCATTGATTAAAAACATTTCATGACAGCAATGCTCATCACTTATTTGTTACCACAAGAAATGTTTTTCTAAACTGATATATTTAGTTTTTAATTACACACAAAGACAAACACTTTGCTTTTCAATTTGTATACAACCCCCGAATCTCAAACTTTAAAATTAAAAATCTTAGTCAGTTTTTGTCCTATGGGAATCAAATGTTTTGTTTTTTTATTTTTCATTATGAGTATAAACTTTTACTGAATATAACTACAGAGATAAGAAAACCTATAAAAACTCAAATTTTGTAGCATCTAAAAAATTGATTTTTTAAAATTAAAAATATAGCTATTTACAATTTGTGATTATTTAACATATTTTTGAATGTGAAGTATATACAATGAATGACTGTGGAAGTAAAGGCCACATGGTGTATAACGATATTGCAATTATTCTCCTCTCTCGTACACTTTTGCACAGAAATTAGAGAAACAAACAAAATCATAGTTTGAATTAACACAAAATATAGATTTAAAGAAAAAATTAAAGGTACCTCTTAACATTAAGGTTTTTATCACCATATAGATAGTACTAGTTACATAATGAATACATTATTTAGGCAGTGGAACTAGCTGATGTATGTCTTACACTATAGTCTGTTACTTTAGAATAGGCACTTGCAGGTATTTTTCTCCACCCAGCTTGTCTTGTAACCACTGTAACAACTGTGGAAGGTTGTGAGCCCCCTTTTCCCACTTCACTTCATCATGATCTATACAAACTCCTCAGCAGAATTCGTGCAAGCTGTTTGTATGATAAGATAGATAGCAGGGTTGGAATATGATTAATAAAATATGTTTCCAATGCTACGTATTATTTATTTCCTCTTTAAAATTATATATATTCATTTAGTATAACATAAATGTAAAATGTGCAACATAAAATTAAAAATTACAGACATACTCTTTCAATTTGAATACACTGCACTGACCCAAAGAAAAAATCAATATTCCATTTTACTACTAATGCAAATAAATATGTATATTAGTTCTTTATGTTTTTGCTAATTACATTAACAACTGAATAGTTACAAAAAAACTTAGAAATAAATTCAGTATTTAATAAACATTAGCATAAAAAAGGGGCATTATGTATATGGTCTTCCACCAAAACTAGAAGGGCAAGTAAATTCTTTTGTTATAGTATTTTATTTTAAGTATTTAGTGAAAATAAAGATATTCTGTTTAAATACAGATCTGTGGCATGTAATAACTTTTATTTCATCATCATAATAATACAACAAAGGAATTGCATAAAATCTGTATTACAAAACTAAATATAACAATATAACAAAGTTCTGAAAGTTATACACAAATGGCAACTTTGTAGCTTTCATTAAATAAATTTCACAGTCCAAAAATAATTGAAAAGAAATGTAATGAGCATAAAAATGAAGTTAAAAAGCAAGAATATAAATGCAAATACTGAAATGTTTATAATACACAAATCTTAATATCCCCCATTTAAAAAATTCATAGATCAATTACAATTCGCTAAGATGTATCAAAATTTAAATAACAGAGAAGATTTGAATTTAATCAATACATAATTTCACCTTCTTGAACAGCTTTAAAAAAGGAGAGAAAAAGTGTAATAATTCAATGGGTGAAATGTGCTTTAAACCACACCCTTGTTTTTATTCTTAATATGATATATGTGGATGAGTGTGGTGCAAGTCTTAGCGCGTTCTTAAAAATAATGCAAAGGTGTGGGTCGAAGCATACTTTCATCATAATTAAATAAATGGATTATATCATTAGACATTTTATTTAATGAGAAATTTTTATTCAATGCATAATTGCCTCTAAGCAGAATTTACATTTTAAAACTGATTATTAATTTTGATAAACTGCAAATAACAGATAAAGATATTAAAAAATTAATTAAAAATGCCATAGAAAATGCAGAGATGTGCTATGATTACTTTCCATACACATAACACAGATATGGTCCCAAACTGCATTTGATACATGTTCAAAATTACATAAAGCAGTAGTTCCCAATCTGACATTTAATCAGAAGAAGTATGATAACAGAATAACAAAGTTTTTAAGGAAAAAACAAAATATTTGGTTTCATATTTACAGAACCATAAAAAAAGATGAAATTATCAAAATTTGGAATTTCACTTAAAATCAATATCTTTCTTATCTAAACTGAAATACGTACAATTTTTCAGAAATATGATCATGACCTGAAATAAAATTCTTTAATATTAGATAAAACAATTTATTCCAGAAAATTTTCAGATAGATTCTAGAAATAGCAACCATTAATTATGGTTATACAAAATACTATATACAAGGGAAGGCAACAAAGTTAATGAATTTTTACATTGAAGTTACAAACCTTTAGAAAGCAATTTTCTTTTTAAATTAGCATTTGGTCCTTTATTGCTTATGAAGTTAATTTGCATCAGAACAAAATGATAAAATTCTATTCCTTCAACTGTTTTTATAATCAAATTTAAGGAATTTGGTTTGTATGTATATTAATACATAAATATATAATTAATTGCATATAAAACAAAAGCCATTAATATGTTCAATTAACAGCACATTAATGAACTAGATTCTGAACCTTAGTAATATGAATCATTCAGAAAAAACACATAGTCCTGCTTTTAAAAAAGACCATATTGCAATGGAAGAAATTAATTGGTTTCAAAACAGAGGGTTTTTCTTTCATTTATCCTTATGAAATTCTAAGAGTTCATTTTTAGGCTTGTAAAAAAGCCTTTTTTTTTTTTTTTTTTTTTTTTTTTTAAACAGCGTATAAGTAAAGTTTCTTTTATTATTTAATTTTATTCAGTTGCTAATTACATAATTCTTTACACATGTTTTTGAATAGTCTGACAAATGTTTAAAATGTTGATGCTTTCATAAAGAACAATTTTCTTTAGAATAATAAAAAATGCTCCCTTTGAACTTTTGTGATTGCTTAATTTTTTGTGAGGAATTTTATTTGAAATTTCCTTTATTTAATGTTTTAATGAATTATTTTAATTATTATGAAGCTAAATGTTAATTATAAAAAATAAAGACTAAGAGCTGATGCTACATAGCCAATTACTTTTACAGATTTTTTAACTTAAAGAGATTACAATGCAAAAGTTCAAGCTTTTTCAAACTTTTAGCTTTTCTATTTTTAATTGATGCCAAAGCTCAATTCACAAATTTTCATCTTAAAACATAATTAAATGAATTACAGTAGAAATTTAAAATATCTGTAATCCAGATATCTAGGCATACCTGAATATAATATACATAGGCCTATTGTTCTTTGTTTACTCTGTGAATCATTGCTTAGCTATAACAAGATCACCTTTTCTAATTTTAAACTGAATTTCTTTAACTTCAGTGCAGTGAAAATAAAAACACAATTAGGTACTGTTCTATTATCAAGACCGGATCCTGAAAGGTATGCATGTATGTGTTCAGGTATATATGTAAGCACGAATGTATGTGTGTGTATACATGTACACATATATGCACATACACACATTCATACATTTCTGAATCCCATCCCCATAATAAATGTACATGTACACATATATGCACATACACACATTCATACATTTCTTAATCCCATCCCGATAATAAAACAATACCCACAGTTAGATTTAGGGCTTAGATAAAACCTGTACTGTTCATTATAATTCAGACAGGAATGAGTTACGTGTTTAAACAAATAAAAAATAATTTCATTTGTTTAACTTTATGGGACGGAGTCCATTTTATGCTTTATTTTACAGGAACAGAATTCTTTTATTCCTTAAATCATATGTTCCTATAAAAATAAAATGTAGCAAATGAAAAAATGCAGCTGTTGATTTGCATTACAATAAGTAAATATCTCGACTATAGGAGGGTTGCCTAATTATAATGCAGAAGGCCCGTAATCCTATTATTCCAAATATTTGGAGTTTCACTAATTTTACACAACTAAGATTTGACTGTTACTTTTCCAACACCTTAAATCTGTGAAAAAATTATATCTGCATTCTGTGAATGACTTCCTTGGTGGTAAAACAAACTGAATATACAGGAGTATTTTTCTTTCTATATAATATAAATATGATTAATTAACATTGTCAAGTTCTTTTATAACATTAACACAGATAAAATTGCAAAAAAGGGTTGCACGCTTTGGATTTTAATTTAATTTCTGTCTATCGAGATATTTACTTATTGTAATGCAAATCAACAGCTGCATTTTTTCATTTGCTACATTTTATTTTTATAGGAACATATGATTTAAGGAATAAAAGAATTCTGTTCCTGTAAAATAAAGCATAAAATGGACTCCGTCCCATAAAGTTAAACAAATGAAATTATTTTTTATTTGTTTATACACGTAACTCATTCCTGTCTGAATTATAATGAACAGTACAGGTTTTATCTAAGCCCTAAATCTAACTGTGGGTATTGTTTTATTATCGGGATGGGATTAAGAAATGTATGAATGTGTGTATGTGCATATATGTGTACATGTACATTTATTATGGGGATGGGATTCAGAAATGTATGAATGTGTGTATGTGCATATATGTGTACATGTATACACACACATACATTCGTGCTTACATATATACCTGAACACATACATGCATACCTTTCAGGATCCGGTCTTGATAATAGAACAGTACCTAATTGTGTTTTTATTTTCACTGCACTGAAGTTAAAGAAATTCAGTTTAAAATTAGAAAAGGTGATCTTGTTATAGCTAAGCAATGATTCACAGAGTAAACAAAGAACAATAGGCCTATGTATATTATATTCAGGTATGCCTAGATATCTGGATTACAGATATTTTAAATTTCTACTGTAATTCATTTAATTATGTTTTAAGATGAAAATTTGTGAATTGAGCTTTGGCATCAATTAAAAATAGAAAAGCTAAAAGTTTGAAAAAAGCTTGAACTTTTGCATTGTAATCTCTTTAAGTTAAAAAATCTGTAAAAGTAAAGTTTGGGAACTACTGGTATTAAGAAAGAGAAAAACGCAAGGAAAATTTTATCAATAAATTTACAAGCTACCATTTCCAACACACCTGTTTAGATCAGTGAGATGACAAATATATCGATGGTTATGCTATCTACACACCTTAACTGTAGTGCAAAAGCCAAAGTGCAGTACACGTGCACACATCATAAACAGACATAACATTTTCAGTAATAAATAGGTATAAATGAAAGAATGGTATAAAATAGTGTGAAAAGTGATTAAAATGAAATAACAAGTAACTTTACAAGTAGCGCAAAGCAAAAATATTTTACGTAAATTAGAAAGCAAATTTTTCAAGCCTTTAAAAACATTAAGAGAAAAAATGTTTATGTTAAAACATATTTTACATATTATGCTTTATGCTAAATAAAGTTATAAATTAAATTAATTGTTCCCATCATTGCAACAGTAGAAAATTTATTTTTTAATTTGCTTAAAATTTTGCCATCTTTCTAAAGATATTATTTTTAAACTGTCAACTGATTAAACACTAGAACTACCAACCAGTCAAAATGACTGTTTTAAGCTTTAGTAAAAATAAGAATATACTGGCAGCTCTAGTATTAGAAAAGACTGTGGAAAATAAAGCAAATGCAAGAATATAAGTCAAATGGTTAATGATATTTCCAAGACATATGAAAAATCAGGCTACTTGACAAATAAAGCAGCAAGATACTGCAAATTAATAATTCAAGTATATTTAAAATAATATATTCATACAAAACATGTAACCTGTTTTATAATAAGTTGTAAAAAATAATAGCACAGTATTCTAACATTTCAGTTAAGAGAAAAAGTCATTACTAGAAACAGGAATAAAAAAATTATAAAATGTATAAACAAGTGGCCACCAATGGCCAAGTAGCTGAAGTTGCATAACACTTGCAGTTTCCTCCTGGGCTTGAGTCCAGGTAATATACTAAACTGGCTGCATACTTATTTTCATTATTTTCCCATGTAATATAAGCATGAGCTACTTTTCCATAGAAAGTCTTCCACACAAGCATTTCTTTCCATTACATAGCCCTGGCATATTTTACCATAACTAACTAGGCAAAATGTAGACATACACCAAATTAACTAATTACTTATCTTATTACACTTAAGTTACAGAAGAACTATAATGATAGAAATAAAATAAGCTCAATAAGCAAACTTTACTTCTGAACATTTTGATATTTTATAAAGTGACAAAATATTCGTAGTACTGCAATTTAATTGCATAGATTACCATAATAGTATGTTTTTGTCAAAATAAGAAAAGCTCCTATGTACTGCATGTTGGCACCATGTTCTCCGATAACTTGAACTAATCTGTCCTTAGCTTAATTTTATGCAAACCGAAAAAATAAAACACATTTAAAAGACAATTTAAAAGAGTTACTCAGCAGATTAATTTTAATGAGAACTAAAGATAGTCTGAAATCCTACAGATAAAATTCATTTCAAGAGATTTCATTCCACAGATAAAATTAGTAAAGAAATAAATTTTTAGCATTTTAATTAAATGTAGAAAGATTCAAGCAATTTTTTATTTAATAAATTTAATTGAAAATTTCTTTTCAAATTAAAAAAAACTTATAATTCAAAGTGAAATCAAATGGCAATTTGAACTTAATGCATATATAATTTGATCTCGCAGTGAATAAATTTTTGCCATTTCATGTTCTTTCCAAAGAGATATTTATGTATATAATTAAATTTTGTATTGCACAGAAATACATACAACTAAAAAAATGAAGATTTCAAAATAAATTGTTACATTTTTTTTCTCATGATGCCTTTACGTATAATGCAATCACAATTAAAAAATAAATACCTAAATTTTTTTTATATATAATAATCTTTGTAAGACAAAGTACTGAACAGCATTATAGAATATGAGAAATACTCATACTTTTATTTAACAAAAACAAGCAAACTAACAAAATACTTCTAATATTATATACAAAACACAGAGATTCCATACATAACATGGTTACAAGGGCCAACCAGCCTATCAGTATCTTGGAAAAAAAGCTTCCTTTGGCATATTCATCAAAAGCTGGTAGGCAGGTATTTTACACAAGCTATACAATATATTTATATAAAATACTAATTGTAAACATCTGTACATAAACTGGAAAAAGAAAAAAAAAAAATATGTATAATAATAATATCATGGCTACTTCACTCAGAACTGTAGTTGACAGAATAAACAATTTCTCACTTTAACTAACAGTGTAAAACTAAGATTTGTCAGTGCATATTCATGGCATGAATAATATTTCTATATATTCACTTGGAATGTTCAGATTTCACATAGAAATGCAGATATCTGCTACTAACAACTCCATCCATTTATGAGCAAGCAAGTATTTTAAGAGCTACAGTAATTCTTTTCGATTTTGTTTATTATTTTCAAATATTTATATTAAAAAAAGGGAGGATTTCATCTCTCTAGTTTTGTATTTGAAAAATAATTAAATGAAGGTCGCCACAAATTTTTTAAATTTCAAACTAAAAAGACAGCCAAAATTTCATCTGAAGAAATTCAAATGTCATCATATTTATTACATAACAATAAATAATTTTCTTCTAATAAAGTACTCTAAGATGAAATACAATTTGGTATGCTAATTGCTGAATCATAATTACGGATAAACATATTCTATTTACATTATTTTTTTTAAATGGTACTATAAAAGATTTTGTAGATCAGATTCTAATAAATTGCTTTTCTGAATTAAGGAAATATGACTTACAATTTTTTTTATGACCACAATATTGTATTTCTTTGATTCTAAGCAGCAACTCCCCCCATATTAATTTCATTAATAATGAGATACACTTTCAAAATCAAGTATATTTCCATTTTCCAAAACACAATTGATAATAAATTAAAGTACTCTATTAAAAAATCCTAAGTTTCCTCTACTTTATTTATTTAAAATCGGTCTCTTATTCTTGGGTGCACTAAAATTAAGAGATGCACCTTAGAACTAATGAATACAGTAATATATCAAATCTCAAAATTTTATAAAATTCTCTTTTAGCGAAAGTTAAAAAAATTCCTACAAAATTTAAGATGATACATTTAACTGAACCTAAGTATATATCTAATGGTGTTAATATGATTAAAATACATTGGCAGTTAATGTTTTTAACTCTTTAAAATAAGGATGAAATTTTCCAATATTAATGAGGAGGCAGATCTCCAAAAAATTATTTTCATACATAATTTTTAAAAGTATCTAATTATATTTTTGGAAAGATACCTTCAAGTATCAGGATCTTATTTGGATAATATTAAAATAGCAGTGGCGATTAAAATTTGCTTTAACTTTCTCTTTCACTCCAAAAAATTGGACACACCTGTATGCATACAGTAAGCTCTTTTATTATAACCACATGTAATTCATAAATATTTTAACACATATTTATTTTATATAATAGCAGCATTAATTTATAGGAAACACAATAAAAGACCCATACTTTGTACTTTCAAACTGTTTTTACTCAGCTTTGTTTTAGAATATGTAATAAAAGACATTCGCTTTACTTTTATAAACTATAAATAAAACACACACCCTAATTCCATTAATAATATGAATAAAAATTACAGTAAATATACATAGAATGCACACAATTTATTGGCTGATTAAAATGCTAAATAAAACATAAATCTTAAATAATAGATAAAAATAATGATAATAGACTTTAAAAATATCAGTGGAATTTTTGCTTTGGCAAAAACCATTTTTCTGTATGCTGATACCAAGCTAATAAAAGAGAAGTTATAAATTATTTGGAAATAAAATACAAGTGTGTTAGTTGCTAGAAATTAAGGCTACTGCTTCCCATTAAATACTTAACTAACAGTATATACATTTAGATATGTTGGATGGATATGCTTTATTCCAGCTGGAAATAATTACACAGAAATTTACTTTCAACTGGATGAAGCAAGATACAACAAGATTATTATAATCTATTATGTTTTTTCTATGCTCACTTTCCTCATTAATATAGATAAGCAAATCAATTTTATGTTTTCTACATATATGAGTCTTTTCTTTGTTCTTAGAAAATGCATGTATTTATTTTTCCTATTTAAAAATGCATTTAAAAGCAAGTGAAAATGTACACAGTAAGCATCGTAAAAGATGAAATCACTACATATTATTTGATTAAATGGCAAGTAAAGGATCACTGACATTCTTTTTATTGAAAAGTATGCTAAAGACTGGACTAAAACTATTTATATTTTTCATTAATAGAAAATTACATAGCAATGAAGACTTTAATTTACATTTGTAAACAGCTCAATAAATTATGTACAACCAGTATATTTTTATATTAAAAATTTTGGAAATGATAATAAATTTCTTGAACCTAAAAACTAGACTTTGTATTTCTTAGATTTTCAAATATAATGTCAACAATTAAATTACAATAATTTGGACATTTTGAAAATGCATGAAATACAAATTTTTCCTAGTTCATATTTTAATTTTTTTAATAAATATGTAATAATATATATATATATATATGTATGTATATATCCTATCTAATCATATAACAAGCATTAAGCTTTAAAAACTAGAAACTTTTAATCAACAACTTTAAGAGGTAAAAACTGTTCTTTTGTTCATGATATTTAGAAAAAGATCAAAATCTACAGTTCTTGAACTGTCTGAAGTTATCTACATTTCTTTGATTACTCTGAAGTTGAAGTAACAATAAACTTAATTCACAGTTTGGAATAAAGCTGAATAATAGGCACTCTTTACTACCTTAAATAGTTGACGGCAGTATATGGTCATAGAAACCAGTGCAGAATTATTTGTACAAGTACAAGAGCTGCAATAATGCTATAATCCCAACGCTGCGCTAACTGTGAATGAATTCTTCTTTGCTGGGCCATAACTGATTCCATATGGAGCTGCATTGAGCGTAAAGTTTGGTTGCTTTCTTGTTGTAACTGCTGTAAAGTCTGAAGGGACTGCTGCAACGAGGACAGAGTAATACTGCATTTTGCAGTATGAAAATTTTTTCTGGGACCTATAAAAGGAAGCAAATTAAGTTTCAAATTAACAAGAAATTTTTACAGGAAGTAAAAAGATATAATGCCCTTATATTGGATGGATATACTTTGATTTCATAATTACTTAATTCAAGTTTATTTCCAAATGGACGATGTTAACTACTTTTTCTACCCGCTGCCCAACCAGTATAGTGGTTAGTGTCACTGACTGCCATGCTGAAGGGTATGGGGGCACATGCAGTAAGCTGAAAGTCCTCTGGGTGGGAGACCCTCGGACCCATGCCCCAGGTTGCTCTCCATCAAAATAGAGGATGGAACTGAGCTAAATCGCCTGTCACCTGTAAGGTGCACAAGGCTGTTGCCAAAAACAGGCACAAACATGTGCTCCTTACCACAAGGAATCTCGTGGGCTTCAGCTGACTAAAAGTCAGAAAAGTGAGCATTAGCAACAACTTTTCTACCCAACCAAGTTTTTGTTTTGATCAATATAATTAACCCGTTGACTACTAAGAGGACACATATGTCCCACTAAAAGTTTAAAAATTACTCCTGGGTTAAAAATATTTAGAATCTCCTGAATGTTGGGGATCATCTTCAGATAGTTGGAAAATCCGCTGTGCTCATTGTATACAAATGAACATAGAGAAAAGAAAAAAATATGAGTTGAACAATGCGTAATGTTGGGTTATGCAAAGAATGATTTCTACCTTGTACCATATGATGTAAATCTATTTCATATAATAAAGTTTTCCAGAATAATAGGTGTGCTTATAGTAAGTCAATCGTTATGTGCGGGACATATGTATCCCACCATTAACTACGGCTGGGACATATATGTCCCAGCCTTTGGCTCGAAAACCCTTTGTCGAAAAAATTTCAAACACTTACCTTATTTATGACATATTCTCAAAAAATTCTGCCACTTATTGGAAACATGGATGAAACTCCAACAACGTTTGATTTGATACGAAATAAGACACTGATGTGAAAGGATCAAGAACACTTCACATAAAACTATAGGTCATGAAAATCTCACCTCTCCATAGTGCTTTCCTGCTTAGCGGACAGTACAAAATTAAAATCCATGGTTATTTTTAAAGTTGAGATGTTTCCCAAGTGGTATTTTCATTCATGTCCATGAGAAACAATGGATGGAAGGAAGAAAATGGTGCGAAGCTGTGGATAAGAAATGTTTGGCAAAAGTTTCCTGTTGTTAAAGAATCCAGGAAGTCTTTTAGTTTGGGACATTTTCAGATACCATTTAATGGATAATATTGTTATAAAATGTCCAGCCACGGTAAGATAGCTAGCCCTCAAGGTGGGTTTAGGGTTGCCAGAAAATGGCAGGGAAGGCAGTGTTGCCATATTTGGCAGGAAATCGTCCATTTGGTGACAAAATTTGTGATATGCCATGGATGGAGAGAGAACATTCTGCAACAAATTCTTACCGGTTTGGTTTAGTCCAGAATGTTCTCGAAAGCACCCCAAAAGCTTTACATAAAACCTGCTGGTACGCGGAGTGGAGAGTATCTTGTAGTCTATCGAGTTGATCACCTATCTAGTGTCAAACATATCATAGAGCATAATTGAGTGTGTTGTGCTTCGAGAGTGATCGACCAAGTCGGGAGCTGTACTATAGTGCTTTCACCGTTATAGCCTGACAGCTTGAAGGCTGTGTTTGGTTTTTTCAGCATGTTTGACGTAGTTTTTTGACAACTGTAAACGTGTTTCTGTAAACTCCTGAGTAATACTGGCTAAATAAATTGTTTTGATACTTTATCAAGTGTCATTGTTAGTCACTCCAAATCCATGAACCCATAAGAATGCATTAATTAATATGAAGAAATTGTTGAAAGTTTATAATACAGACATGATGCTTATTCCAAGTGGATTAATACCATTAGTTCTGCCTTTAGATGTGTGCATGAATAAACCAAAGAAAGAATCGAAAAAAAATTTAAATGACAGTGGAATATGTATATGTTAGAAGGTGAAAAAACATTTACAAAAGGAGGCCAAATGCCAGTCTAAAAATAGTATGTGAAGGAACAGTAAAAGCATGGAATGAAGTTAAATGTGACATAATTCATTTAAAAAATGTATATTATTTAACAATTTAGATGGAATGAAAGATCATTATTTATTTATGGATCAGAGTAACGAGATGGTGAAGATGAAACAGAAATTGATAATGTGCCTGTGCCTGAAGATATAGTGGTGCACGTAGAAATCTAATTTTTGTATGCTCATCTTTTGCAAATTTTAAAATCTATCATTTTTATATCCAGTATATAACATGCACCAGTAAATTTCAATCTCATTTTTTGTATTAAAAGCGTGCATTATATGCCAGACTATATGGCACTTGTATAATTAACATGAAGTTTCACTTCGGAGTTTTTCATTTATGTGATAAGTGCAAAATTTTCAACTTAACACTTTCATTGTCTCATTCATTTCATGTCTTCATTGTAAGAAATGCTTATTATGCTCTTTTCTCCATAATGATGCTTCCCAATTATTTTCAATTTTTGTAAAAGAAGTATGTTTGGTAGTTTCATATATATACTGTGTTCAGCAATATTTTTGAAGACCATAAAACTGGTGAATATCCTTAAAAGTAAAACAGCAGTGGCTAAAGAAAGGGAAGAATTAAATTTCAACTAAATAAACTCATAAAGCACCATACTGTAAGAACAGATTCAGAACATAATAGTATATTTGATCACTAAACAAGCAGAAGTATCATTAGAACAAGCTATTTGTTAATTATTCTTCAATGTATCAAGACTTTCTCTTGAGGTAACTTAACCAGTTTACTAGATCTACTTTAATTTGATTTGAATAAAAACTTACCATCACTTTCTGTAGAATCGCTGCCATGAAAGGCCTCACCATTCGCAGATGAACTTTCACTTCCACGAGAGGTGACGCTTTTCCGGTGTCGATTTTTTGGTAATATGCAGACGGAAGGCCTTGGTAAGACACGATCAACTGACAAGTGGCGGATGAGTTCCACTTTAGGAGTGTCCTCAACACTGATAATACTACCAGTTCGTACGGTGGGGGGCTTATGCCTAGTTAAAGTCTGTATTTTAAAATCATATTCATATTGGAGAACATCAGTGCGGGGATCCCAGGGCCTAGAGCTGCATATACATGCATGGATTAGTCAAAATGTTTAAAACACCAGATTGCAGTTTCATTCAATTTGACTTAAATTCCAACAAGCAAATTTAAATTAAATTATACACTATAATCTAATCCTTTATGAATTTTATAAGTTGCAGTGTAAAAAATAAAATTACAGCTTAATTTTAAGTTCTTATACAATAAAAACGAAATAATTGTCTACAAAGTATGGGACGGACAACAAAAAAGGAGGAGGCAATTTGATATCTCATACAGTATTTGAGTCAAAATAACACATTGAATACTGATTATTGAAGGAATTAAAGCAACATGAACCAGCAAAATATTCACAAATTTGGAAAACAAATATAAATATTATGCCGACTTTTGTTGCTTTAACTCCTGCAATAATCTCCTAATGTAATTAGCCAATCAACAAAATTCAATTTGTGGTCTTCATTTCTTGAAAGTACAATACCAAGTTAGAGCATTTATTAGATTTATATATATATATATATATATAATTAAAGAAAACATAACAAACGATAAAAGACCTATGTGGTCAAAAACTTTGCGAATTGAGTCGCAAAATTTAGAAAAAAGTTCAAAGAAAATTCCTAGTTCGTACGCTAAAAAGATGCTTAGATACTGTGGTTCCGTTAAAATATTAACATAAGTAAATTAAAGTGCAATGAAATGTGTAATAAAGATTAAATAAATATATACAGTACAAAATCCATAATCCGGACTCGTCGGGACTTCGGCGATTACAGATCATCAATTTAAATCTGGTAGGATGGCATGCAGAAATTATACAATTAAAAATATGAAACCATAATTTATGAAAAAAAGAGCAATTATGATCTAAAGGGTATCAAAATTAAAAAAAAAAAAAAATTAATATTTATTTGTTTACTTTATTAAATATTTCTTTCAATGCAAGTTGTTTAAGCTGCTTCGTTTTTTGTAGTAATACTTTCACTTTAATTCTGTAAACAGACATAATTTCTTGTTCAGTTACAAAGTTCCACTGTTCAAATCCTGTAATTGCTGTGTCGAGAATACCGACTAACTTGTCAATCGAATATTTTTCATTTTCAATAACCAATCTGTCACTTTCTTCACTATCGGAAGCGGTATTTTCTGGATCTAGAGCCATACTACAGATTTCGCCATCCGTTAATTGATTGACGATTGGGAAACTTCTGTTATAGCATCTTCATTTATTACTGCCTCTCCACATTTCTTTACAAAATCCAATAATTGGAAAATTTCACCTTTAGTTTGCAATGTCCGAAAACCTTCAAATTCACGGCTATCATCTTCATCGTCATTACCATGAAATATGGTAGCTGGCCATAAATTATGCCAAGCATTTTTTAACGTATCTGGAGACACATCCTCCGAATGCGCATGTGTAAAGCATACAAAAAAAAGTTTGTTGCTTTGAGGTCCGGATTATAGATCATTCCGGATAATGGACGTCCATATTACGGACTTGTTTAATTCCAAGCCTATCGAATTAATTTCCACCTTTTCATTGCCCTGCGCTGGCAACACGCTTTTGAGATTTGTCGTTTGTAGAATTTGGTCGCTAAAAGTGTAGCTGACCTGTAACGGTTGTAAATCTTATTTTAATGCTTATCCGTATTGCTGAATTACTACTAAATGTTTACATATAATGTTTCATTATTAAATGTATTCAGTTTGGTTTAAATAGACCAAGAATGATTGAATTTATTAAGGATATTTAAAAAACACAGGAACGTAAACAGTACAGTATATATGTATCACTATTCTAATGCACATATTTTGACATGAAATCAGACATTTCTGAACTAATGAACTGATTTTTTTCCACAGTTCAATTCTATGTCTGAAATTATGCATAAATACAGAATTTTTTAAATATCATACAAGCCATTTCCAAGTTATCTGAATTTATAATTGAGGCTATAAGGTATTTTCTTGCTCCTTTCTGCATGCCTTCATGGTCCAACATGTCTTCATAGCACACTTGGTGCGTATTCGAGAGGTCCATATACAAGTCTTGGTGAGGGCATTGCTCATTTTTAATGTCGCCTCTTTCAAAATAACCTAATGACTCTACAAGGATAATTATTAACTTGTTGCACGCAGACACCCTGGAACTTCCAATTTACGTTAAGCCTTAAAATTTTTTTATATGTTTTTATCTCTTCAGTTAATGACTTTCTTCACAGAAGAGAGTCATTCAGTGCTAAAGCCTTTCAAAACTTTAAACCTTGAGTTATTAATTCCATATTTTAAAGAACATTTTTATAATATTCAGAAAGTACCCAAACTAATTTAAACTATGTATTTTAAAATAATAAGTCAGAAAAATAGTTAGAGGATTTCCAGGAAAAGAAAGTTCTTTTAAAATTTTATTCATTTGTGAATAAAATTTGATACTTAGGATTGATTATCTACCAAACCAAAATTAAGAATTTGAATTTTAATACTAATTAAACATCTCAGTATGAGTCAAATAAACCTCATTACGCACGTACAGTAGATTTTAAATATGTCAGAATGGTTCATCAAATAATTTCCTTTTTAAAATTATATTTCAAATTTTGGTGGATTAATAGTTATCAGTTTAGCATTTATTATTCATTGGCCACTTCTGAAAGTGAATAATAACCCACAGAAAATAATTAATAGTAATTAATTCACACAGCTAAAAAAATTAGCCATTAAAAATTCTTTAAATTTCACATTTTTACTTTATTTTTTAACATACATTTTTTGGGGGGGGTTCTCATTTCAAGAGCAAATAATACCTGATATTGTTAACTCATAAACTACATTTTTACTATTATTGAATAAAATTAAGACTCAACTCAAAAAGGAATTTTATGTGTAAAAGTTTATGTTTGATTTTGCATATTTTTTCCCCCAAAGCATAGAATGAAGTTATAGAAAAACAAAAATATTTAAAAAATACATATTTTACCCTGAATAAAATTAAAAGAGGTATGCAAAAAGAGGCTTGTACTATACATGTCACCACAAAATTTTATTTTTAGTTTCAGGTTTCAGATACAAATGCTAACACAGAAGAATTAGTTAGAAATTTTGCAATTAATAAACAGATTTTTATATAAGGCAATAGATATAGCTTAAGGCATTAAAGCATTTCATTTCTCCTGCTTTTAAGCATGAGCAATGGAAAGCATTTTAAAGATTTATTGCAAAATGAAATTCAGAAGTAGAAAAGTAATTTTGCAAATGATGCACTTTCTTATGCTGATGAGCAGTGCACTATTTTACTAATGAAAATCTAAAAAGAATATTTTAGCAATCATCCTATATTTTGAAATAGCTTACATAAACTCCCTGTTAAGACACAATAACACACCAAACAAATACTAATTCAGAAGTCAAACAACAAAAATCAGCGTTATATTTTCAAAATTTTCATAGGACTAGTTTCGATAGTTTTACCGAACCACCATCCTCAGCTGTAAAACCGCAAATGAACAAGATAAGAAATAATGATTAGATAAGATAAGAAAGCCTGGACAAGAACAAGCAAGTGGCGCCATCTGTTGATGAAACCAGAACTAAAACATAATTTTTTAAAGGCCGAAGGCAAAGATGGATTGGAATTAGGATCGTTAACTAGAACAGAAAGATTTTTTGAATGTGAAATGCTTCTAGAAAATGCAGTTCTCCAATGGAAGATGTTTTTTGAATAATTTTGGCAGCAGAAAAACTGAAAGTGTGATTTTCGGACCAACAATGTTGAGCAACAGAGAATTCTGTGTTTTTCTTTTTTCTAACATATGCCTCATGTTCCTTGACGCAAAATTTTAAGGCTCTCTTAATTTGCTTCATTTTATTCCTATGTTTTCCATGCTCTTCAAGTTTGCTTCTCCAAACTATCCTTTGATGATGAACTAAATTATTTAAAAGCAATAGCTATTGACAGGGGCTTTTCACCCAATATTATTAATCAAGCAGTTAAAAAATTCTCATCTCAACACACTAAAAGGCACACTCTTGTTTTAAGAGATTATAAAAATTCTGTTGTCATTCCCTTCTTTCCATCAATTAGCTATAAAGTTGCACATATTTTGCAGAAATTTAACTTTCGGGTTGTTTATTCTCCCATCAATAAAATTCCAAGTTCCATACTCAAGGACCCCATTCTGGATATGAATTAATGAGGTATTTATATGATTCCTTGCCAGTATGGTTTAATTTACATTGGCCAAACTAAGAGAGCCTTAAAATTTTGTGTTAAGGAACATGAGGCGTATGTTAGAAAAAAGGAACACAGAAGTTTTCTGTTGCTTAACATTGTTGATCCGAAAATTACACTTTCAATTTTTCTGCTGCCAAAATTATTCAAAAAACATGTTCCATTGGAGAACTGGATTTTCTAGAGGCATTTCACATTCAAAAAAATCTTTCTGTTTTAGTTAACGATCCTAATTCCAATCCATCTTTGCCTTCGGCCTTTAAAGACATTATATTTTAGTTCTGTTTTCATCAACAGATGGTGCCACTTGCTTATTCTTATATTATGCTTTCTTATCTTATCTAATCATTATTTCCTATCTTGTTCATTTGTGGTTTTACAGCTGAGGATGGTGGTTCGGTAAAATCATCGAAACTAGTCCTGTGAAAATTTTGAAAATATAACGCTGATTTTTGTTGTTTGACTTCGGAATTAAACTCCCTGTTCTTTGTTTTTATAGATATAACTTGCGCAGAAAATGCCATTATTTATCGATGATTTAAATTTGAAATATATCTGTTATTATACATAGAATTAATGATTAACTAAATTTTTGAAGAATAGAACAGATATAAACAATGAACTCACTCAGCATATTTATACACCCATTCACCAGTAACAATATCCTGAACAAAATGCTTTGGAGTCCATTTTTCAAGTTTTACTTGACGTTCTTTGGCAGATTTCCTTTGTGCCTCTTCAAGTAGAGTTTTCTCTTCAGTTGCGGCTACTTGATCTCCTCGTAAAATTGCACATGAGACATGCTGCCATAACCTGGTCGCAGAAAATGAAAAACTACTTGTAGACAGATAATTCCAAAGCAGTGAAAAAGAAATATGAATTTTGTTTTGATAATTCATTAAACAAAAATAAACAAATGGAACAAGTCTGTAATATCAATAGGTCTAATAATTTTTTTTTCAGAAAAAAAGTTTTTAAATACAATGAAATGCTCTTGATATAACAGCCTCACTTTACATGATTAATATATGTAGTACACAGTCTGATATCCAGACTCGTTCGGATTTGGGATTTTTCCGGATATTATATCATTAGTTTAAATCTAGTGAGATGAGAAAGTATAAAATTAAAAATATTAAATCGTGATTTATGAAATAAGGAAGCATCTATGACCTAAAGAGTATAAAAAAAGGTTAATATTTATTTGTTTACTTTATTAAACATTTCTTTGAATGTAAATTGTTTAAGCTGGTTCATTTTTTGTGCTAATACTTTCTCTTCAAATTCAGAGGACAGAGATAATTTCTTGTTCAGTTACAATGTTCCACTGTTCAAGTGCTGTAGTTGCTGCATTGAGAATTCTGACTAACTTGTCAACCGAAATTTTTTCGTTTTCAATATCCTCTCATCACTTTCTTCACTATCGGTAGCAGTATTTTCTGGATCTAGAACCACACTACAGATTTAACTGTTCATTAATTGATCGATGATTGGAACATTGTCATCACAATAGAAAACTTCTGTTATATCATCTTCACTTATACCGCTTTCTCCACATTTCTTTATAAAATACATTAATTGGAAAAGCAGATACGCAGCTACGGAGCCAAATTATTGATCACACAAATTTATGCTAAAATAATTGTTTCTTCAATAATGAGGCATTTTATTTGGTACCGAAGTGAAATTAAGAATCGGAATTCTCCACATGCTTTCTTATGGAGCGCATGCCACGCAAGAAAATCAAATGCGCATGTTACGCAAATACATAAGTTGGTGCAAAAGCAAAGTTTAAAGTTATAAACACATTTAGTTGAAATAGAAATAGGTGGTGTGGTGTATTTAATTATGGCAAAGCACACTAGGGCTATCTGCCTAACGGGAGGGATGCCTTCGTGGAGGACTTTCTAAGGGAAGCTGGCTCGTATACACGTTACACATGGGGAAAACCACGAAAACACCCATGCAGCCAGCCCGTTCGCGGGATTCGAACCTCGGACCGAACTACCAGTGTTCAGCGACTTTACCGCTCGGCCGCTGGTGGGCCTGAAATAGAAATAGAAGCTCCCCAATGTTATATACTTTGCAGACACTGAAGACAAAAATTTTAAACTTAACCAATTTATTAACAATATATAAAAAAATAAAAATACAATAAATAAATTTAATCAACACCAGAAACTTAAAGAGTGTAACATTATCAAAAATTACATTAGTTGACTCTTCATTAATCTCAAGGGTTTTTCCTTTAAAGAATATTACACTATTAATGATACAGCAAATATATTACCTGATCTTTGAATACCGGCATTCAATATGTGAAAAACATATCACAGAACAAAAACTACGCAGTTAATATGAATTTCACTTCACTATAAATAGGTCCATGCTTTTTGGCCAAGAAGGCACCTGAAAAATTAAACAAAACCTTGAGTGCACTTGAACTGGCAAAAGCTGCTCACTGTAGTTGCTCATGAGAGATCACAGCTTGGAATTTATCGCCGCCGAACCATAGAACAGATTGCTGCCCACGGCAGTTGCTCACTGGAAATCACAGCTTGAAATTTGACGTCCCTTAAGTTAAGGGAACAGAATGCAGTCCATGGCAGTTGACCCCCAAGAACCACAACCTGAGATCTATCGCCGTCAAACCACAGAAACAGGATGACACCCACGGCAGTTGCTCACATCGTAGCTGCTTTGCAGAATCCAGGAAAAATCATCATGGACTGGAACCATGGTATTTATCGGTGGCCGGCACGCATCCACTGATCTTCCAATGTGCACTGGAGCAATGAAATAGAAACCAGAAGGAATAAGCCAGAGCGATGCAAGATACTTATACCTGAAGTAGACATGACGTCATCTCACGGCAGCCAATCAGCTGTCACCACGACTCCGCTTTCCAGATGACATAACATCGAGTTTCGTTTTTGCATCTTAATTAGTCTGGAACAGTCTGTTCTTAATACAAACAATGGCAGTGAAAAAAAAAAAAAAAAAGGGGGTAGACGTAATTGCTATATCCCTTCAAAATGAGAACTAAACCTTATGTAAAAGTTAGAATTATTTCAAGGAGGAGAGATGATGCAGAAAAAAGGTTACAATAGATCATATTTTCAACATAAATACATCAAATGCGCATGCATAAAGCCTCGAAACAAATTCCTAAAAATCTTTTTTGTTGGTCTGGATTTTAGATCATTCCAAATATTGGATGTCTGGATCTCGAACTTTGTACAAATTTCAAATGCTATATTGTGAAACATACTTATCTCAATGCTACTTTGATGCTGGTGACACGTTTTAGGGCATAACTTACGATTTTTTTTTTTTTTACTTTGAAGAACTGTTTCACTTACAGGATACAGAAAATGGTATAAAGGTACAATAATAATAATAATTTAAAAAAACTCCCCTCATTTATTTAGAAAACAAATAATTATTGAAATGTAAAAGTATATTAAAAAGCATCTCCCTTTTTAGATTATGAAATACATGTTTGTCAGTTATACGAAATATTGTAATTTTAGCATAAAGTTGATTCTTGAAATATGGCAAAATACAGATGCTGTTTGCATACTTTTCAGATGATTTTCATTGGGTTTACACAAGTATTTTACCTAAAACTTTTGTCTTTTAAATGTTCCATTCGATAATGTTTATTCTTCACTATCTTTCTACACCATAATTTCAAAGACATTAAAGTCTTTTTTTAGCATCGAAAAAGATATTTTATCCCATTCAGTGGAGTAGTGAGCATAACTGGCGCCCGGGGCAAAATACCTTTTTGGCACCTTCCCTCTTCAAAAAAACCACAGTAATATGATGTATAAAATATATTTGTAATAAGAAAATAATGTGAATAATAATAAAATGCTGAATCTGTCATAAAATACTCTAAAATATATTAAGAACAGTCACTACCTAGCATTGAATTCGGAAATGTATCTGAGTCGGAGATTCAATTTCTTTTCTACTACGGAGTAACATCTTGTAGTCACATTCACTGTTCAAAACAATTAGGGAATATTGGGAGTTTGGAATGAAATAACCATATAATCGATAACCTTTTTGACTAAAATAAGAGAGATTATAAAAAGAAAATTATAACATTTACAAAGTTGGGAATATGCAAATTTAGTCTGTGACGTCGAAAACTAAGCGTTTTAGACGAGGAGTAAGGAGCAACCTGCAGCATTCTTTTTGTAGTAGGAGATTAAAAACAATTGATATTCATTTACAGCTTTGTAGCAGTGAATATGCGATGTCTCAGCAAGATGACTTAGTTGAATCGGTAGCCAGGAAGGCCATCAGTCGTTTACAGCAGAGTCAAATGCAATCCATTGTAGCGGAAGCATAAGGAATTTCCCAAATGTCATTTCCAGACTATGGAATCGGTTTGGGGAAAATGGATATGCTTGTGATATTCTGGACAAAGTTGTGTTAGCATTTCAAAATAAAAAGCAGGAGCTATACATGCATTTCATTAAAAAAAATAAAAATATACCTTTATTTTAGAAAAATAAAGTGGTCAGAAAGAATGTTTTGTATGAGCAGATATTTTGTTGATGTACTGCAAACATTTTATTATGCACTTTATCAGAAAAATCAAGAAAATAATTATATTACAATAATTATTAATTTTAAATATATTTTCTAGAAATCGATCAAAATAAAAAAACAAATTTTTCGAAAAATCTTGTTTGGAAACAATATGGCGAGTCTCTGCGAGCGCCACCCGGGACATCATACACCCCCCTTGCCACGCCATTGATCCTATTCCTTTTGAACAGCTTTTCCAGAGTCCAAGGAGGGCTGTAGATCGATGTTTGGATAATTCGTTTTTTAAAAGTCCAAAAGTGCAAAAATCCATGGATGAAACCTCAGAGATTTAGTAGGGATATGAGTGAAGGTTATGGCTTTGATACATGTTTCTTCTTCCATTTTTTTACAGGAAATTAAGAGTAGATTTTGATATATGGCTGCTTGCTTTGTGTTGATGCAGTTCTACCGATTAAAGGCATTGCGGGTAAAGAGAAAATATTTCATATTCGAAAATTGGGTATAAAATATGTTCCTGACAATATATGGGGTGGACCTTAACAGTTTTCTTCATTCTCTTTAATTTTTATTTGCGTATATACAAAAAACCACCAACAAGCGTAAATCCCTTTGAAAAAACTTTCTTTAGATCCTTTGAACCAAGGTCTAAGATTTTTTTGCTTTTCTTCGATGATAATAAATGGATCTCTTTTTATTGCAGTCATTTAAATATACCCAAGATTCATCTATTGTGACAACATTTTTCCATTTTTGCCCGAAAACGTATGATGATTTACACTTTTAAAAATATAGTTGGGAGTTAAAAAATTTTTTTTCCCAAGCTGGTGATTTTTTTAAAAGCATAGCAAAATTGTCTAAAAAATGTGCGAACAGCCTCTAAACACAAATCTGACATAAAAAGGCAAAATCTGCTAAGATGTATATGGATGTACACTTTGCACTTGCTATTGGCAGTGACAAACTGGTGGTGCTATTGGTAGTGATAGAAATTTAAACAAAAGTAAAGATGAATCATAACTTCATAAAATTAACTGTATTGCATAATATGCTATAATGATGTTTCAGCCTTCTAATGTTGTACTCTCACAACACTGATATTATGGAGAGATTATCTGTTCAAAATGTTGCATGATGTTAGTGTTTTCAGCCTGAAATTAAAATATAATCTACTGCTGTTCTCATTTATATAATACCACAAACCATAAATATGCCTACTACAAAATATGTCTAATTATAATTAAGATACAATAACACGGTGAACAAATACTAATTCAGAAGTCAAACAACAAAAATCAGCGCTATATTTTCAAAATTTTCACAGGACTAGTTTCAATGGTTTTACCAAACCATCATCCGCAGCTGCAAAAGCGTAAATGAATGAGATAACAAATGAAAGAGATTCTTTGCCTTCAGCCTTTAAAGAAATTAGGTTTTAGTTCTGGTTTCATCAACAGATGGCACCAGTAGCTTACCTCCTGCCCAGGCTTTCTTATCTTATCTTATCTTTATCTAATCATTAAATGTTATCTCATTCATTTGCGCTTTTGCAGCTGAGGAAGATTATTCAGTAAAACCATCGAAACTAGTCTTGTGAAAATCTTGAAAATATAATGCTGATTTTTGTTGTTTGACTTCTGAATTAGTATGTCTAATTATGTTGAAATATTTACCACCAGACAGACTAAAATTAGAAAAAAGAAATGCTGAATTGCTTGATATACAGATATTATGTCTATGAACTAAGAACAAGCTTTGTAATTATACAAGTCTAGTCAATAAATATTTTATGAGCCGATTCAAAAGCCTTGCTGCTCGCAGAGCAGAAAAGATTCAGCTCAAGCAATTTAATACTCGAAAAAGTAATATAAATGGCTTTTTTCTATTCTGCTCTAATCTTAAAATGTTTAATGACAGTAATTCACTTTGAATGTGGCCTTCACATGGCAAAAAGTAGAGTACATATGCCATTGTTTCGAGATTATGTGACTGATACATGCATTTAAGAAATTATATAATTTACTATATTTTCAAAATCCAATTAAAATGAATTTTAGCAGTAGCACGCTCGGCTCATATCCAAAGAGGTCGAGGTTCGAGTCCGGGTGAGCACATTTTTAGCTTCAAAATAACCTAATGACTCTACAACTACTTCAAAATAATGAAAATTCTTATTGGAAAAATTTCAAAAAGAAGTCTTTAACCATTAAGTTATAAATATTTCTTTATGATATAAAAATGTTTCTAGTGATCAATAGCATGAAGAGTTTGGCGATTCATACATATAGCAGCCTGGTATTTAAGAATGAACTTTTGCAAAATGCATAATCATTTATAATTACTCATTACCTTTCAGATTCATATTCATCTTGGTATTCTATGGGCACTGTAAACCTTTTCAACCTCTTCGATCTTATTTCTGGATCTGGATTCCAAAATAAATGTTCCTCCTATGACACACAAATAAATAAAATAAATTATGATAGTTTACATACATGCAATAATGGTATAATGTACTTTAATGGCCTGAAAGTTTACTCCATTATATCAGATTGACAATTATTATTATGTGCAATGAATAAACTACGTTTTTCATTCTTTTTTGTGTTTCATCATTACATACATAATTTTATATGAAAAATTACTTGGTATATAAGACATAGTTCAGACTCTTCCCTCAAAATACATATCTCCAAACATACATTTATGATTATAAAATTTCATGATAACATATTATTATCTAAATTGGTAAGATAATCGGATATAACACATAGCCCGAATACCCTTGATTTAAAAGAACACAGAGAAATGTCTGTGCGTGTTAGGGGAGGGGATAAGAGAAGAATAATGTACAGGTGATTTTCATTACCCAAATAATCTGAATGTGGATGATTTTAAGAGTTAGTAATTTTTCAGTCAAAGCTCCAAACATTCTGGAAAATAATACAGTGGAACATACAAAAAATTCTTTGGTCAAAGATTTTCATATATATAAGTATTTAATATCTGTTTCTCATACATTTCAAGGATTACTATAGTCATTTAAACTTACATTAATTCTTTCACAGTGAAGACACCCAGAATGCCTGTGCATTTAGACATCAGCCAAAATGTTTGCACCCACTTTCTACACGATGCTTTTCCCCCATCACATTAGTGCATGGCAACAGTTTCCGCAGTTGTTAAATGGCATGCCAGTTATTCTTTTGAAGAAACTAAAAATGGCTCCCTCTCCTTTATTTAGCGTCAACATTTACTACAATCTGCAACTACCTACTACTACTACTCACAACTACTCCTGTCCTATGAGAAAAACTGCACACAACAGTTGGTGAAAGCACACAGGGATTCCAAGACAGAAGTAATCGCTTCACTTAAGTAGGTTATTGTTAACAATACAGCCTTCTACTTGGCATGAGAGAAGGAAATCAATTTTAAAAAAATCTGAAAGGTTTCAGATTTTAAATTACATCCAAAGGGGTGTTTTTTTAACGTTTTTTGTGTTACCCCTATTTATTAAATATTATGTTCTTTGCACTTAAACCATAAAATTCAGTTCAATAGCAATGTCTCAAAATAATTTTAAAATGAGCATATTTTTAGAATTTCTGATACACAGTTTCGTGTGCTGGAGATAAAAACGTGTACCCTCCTGTAGAGTGTTGCTATCACTCGCTTTTAAAACGTTGAGTTTGTTAATTAAAAATTCTTTAAAGTTTTACAAAATATGAAATCGATAATAATAAAACAAATTCCAAATTTGGCCTTTCACATGCCCGCATTCGTAGGAGGATTACGTCATTCAAAATTCGATGGCTCTATGTACCGTTGTTTTATCACAATGCAAGAAATATACATACATTTATGCAGATTTTTCATTATATTTTTCTTCAAATATAACGCAGGACTCTAACATTTGGTGGCAACAGATTGAAAAGTGATTCGCCATTTATAGTGATTTAACACAAAATTGCAAAACTAAAACAATAGTCCTCCAGGAACAAAGCCCCTTTGGATTAAAAACGCATTTATGGGCATTTCAGATGTTTGAGAGGAACAGGTTTTGGCCCCTACCAATGTGAAAGAGTTAAATGCTTAGAAACTGGACAAAACCAATAGGGTCGTTTATTTTATCTAAAAGATTTAATATAAACCGGTTCACTAAAGCTGGGCTTGATTATATTTCATTTTGCTGTGCACTGCATTGATTTTGAAATATAATCTTTGTAACTATAACTGATTTTGCATTATACATTTCCCCAAGATAAATGTCAAAATCCAGACTGAAATGTGTGTGTAATTATGGCAAAGCCTCAAGGGCTATCTGCCTAAGGGAAGGGATGCCTTCGTGGAGGATTTTCTAAAGGAAACTGGCTCGTATACACGTTACACATGGGGAAAACCGTGAAAACGCCCATGCAGCCATCCCGTCCGCAGGATTCGAACCTCGGACCGAACTACCAGTGTTCAGCAACTTTACCACTCGGCTGCTGGTGGGCCGCAGACTTAAATAAAAACATACAATACACTACATTACCAGTAAAGTAATGAATGTATTTGTTATGTGAATGATATAATACAATATGCATTTATTTTATTTTTTTAAACAAAATTCTAGCATTTTGATAAGGCTCTAAAAATGCTGATGTACATACAATGCAATAAATGTCACAAAAGCAAAATATACAGAAAATTAACTTACCCCAAAATATTCAATAACTATTGATTTATTAACATATATAAAATAATTCATAAATAATATATGCTATTTTAAAAATAGGTAAATTGAAATATGCCTTGGAAATAGTGGCAAAGTACAACAATTAAACATTCAAAACAGGAGGGCTGATCCAGAATGTTTGACCAAATGTAAAAGGGAAATTAGCTATAAATTTAACTGAAATCAATCGAAGTTGCTTAAATGATTTCAAATATGTGAAACTGATATATTTATACTAAGATGGTGAAAATAACTGTGGTACAGCACAATATCTTATACATAAAAGGATTATGCTTACACCCACAACCTTTTAGTCTCTATATTTTCGCTTACAATGAATGTTATACTTAAATAAAATTTCATCTAGCATACATGATTTGAAATTAAATTATCAAAGACTAGCAGGAAAAACGATTTATCACTATTATGGAAGCAAATGATTTACATACTATGAATGCACTCCCCCCAAACACATTTCTTTAATAAATAGAATCAGAATAACCTTAATATATAAGTTAAATAATTTATATCCTGTTAAACAGAATCAAAATTAGCTTTACACACTGAATAATTCAAATCTTAATTTTAAAATTACTGTACTTACTCATTTTACTTTTATGTGAGGAAGATGATTCTTGGTTTTCTACATAATGCTAAGTACTATATACTTTTCTGTATAATGCTAAATACTATATACTTTTCTGTATAATGCTAAATACTATATACTTTTCCATATAATGCTAAAATAAATTAGTTATTTTATTAAATTTTACATTTTCCCGACAAGAAAATCATTATCTACCAACTGCCTGTACATATTTGGCTATTGATCCCCAGAAAGGTCAATACCAAAACCATGTTGGGAATCCCTTCATTATGTTCTTCATACTTACTGTGTTTCCATGCTCATATTTCCCATCCCATCAGTCACTGTATTATGAAAACTATGACCCTCTATCCCCCTTAAAGTTGTGACCATTAATCCAATAATTCTGTTACATCATGTATATATGTGCATACATATATACAGATTAAAAAAATTAATCAAAATGTAAACACACACACACACACACAATTTTTTTAAAGCTAATTAAAGAGAAAAATTTCTTACCCCTGTTCTTCTGTCTCTGAAAAATATTTCTCCATCCCAGTGACCTTCAAGTGTTGCTAATGTTTCCTTGCCCAATTTTATTTTTCCAGTGACTAGATTAGATAATTCAGAGCCACCAAGGAATGGCTGCAAAAGAAATGTAATAAAAAGTATGTTAAATATGGCAATTACAGAAACACAAAACATACTGAAATATTTTGGGATATGTACATGCAAATATTCCAAAATCCTCCATACCACTTACACAAAATTAAGTAGAAAGAAGAAAGCTTCAGTTAAAAGCAAAATATATGATTGAAAATATAAGATTCAATATGAGAGAAAAAATTTAATATTAAAAAGTATAAATGATGCATAAAAAAATTAGGTACTTTTCCTGTTAATGGGGCACCACTTAGTGCCAGATATAAACATTTGCACTGAATCTAACAAGATGGCAACATTTCTAATGTTGTGTAAAGTTTTATCAAAAGAATGATTATTTTATTAAATCCAAAACAAATACAAATGCGGAAAACAGATTCTACTAAATTAATTTCAGATAACACAGGGAAGAATAAAACTACCAATTTACCAATTTCATTTATCATTGGTGAAAATATTTGTATCTTTTCAAGGCAATCACCGCCACCTGAATTTGATGAGGTACAAATCTAGTTAAAAGTGGCCAAAACTGTAGTGATGCTTGTTTCACAATTTTGCACATGGCATACCATTTCAAGATTAATAACACTATACAGTCAAAAGTCTTTAATCCTCGTCGGGACTTCGGCGATTCCGGATTAACGATTTTTTCGGATTATAGATCATCAGTTTAAATCTGGTAAGATGGCATGCAGGAATTATAAAATTAAAAATATGAAACTGTAATTTATGAAATAAAGAGCAATTATGATCTAAAAAGTATCAAAATTTACAAAAAAAAAAAAAAAAAAAAAAAAAAAAAAAAAGAGGCTTAATATTTATTTGTTTACTTTATTAAACATTTCTTTCAACGCGCGCATGCGTAAAGCATACATTACACATAGTCGAAATTAGAAAATTGCAACCAGAAAACTATTTGATTTGTATTAGTGATATTTATAATAACAAGGAATTTGATTTAAATCATATCAAAGATGGAGTACATTGAGATGAAATACTACGTTTAGTAAGAAATTATAAGGCGAATAAAATAAAAACATCTGCCTTGAAGATAAGGATAGTGCTGACAGATCAACTTCCAGTTCATTGCGCACTGCGATGTTCCAAAAATGCACAATTAAGACACTGGAGGAGAAGAAGGTTGTGTCAAGAGAAGAAAGTGCATTAAAAAGCTAGCAAACCTGTGGAGAACTCAAAACAAATAGAAAAACGGAACACATGATTAAGTGAAGGCAGTTAGACTTACACACAGTTTCAGCACGGCAACAATTATTGGCAAGTTAATCAATAAAATGAGATGCAAGATTATATATATATATAATTATCAAAATTTTTAATTTAGTGTATTCAATATCATAAGTGGAAAGTAAACTGGTTCAATTTTCACAAATACCCATCAAATACTCAGTGCTTTTTACTGTCACTTCATATACAAGTGCTCTTTCTGACTTAAATCATGGATAATTTTTCCCAAAATAATTAACCACTTGATCAGCAAGCAACACAGCATTATGGTACTAACAGTTTTTTTTTTTTCAAACTCAAGATTTGTTTTTATTAAATGAAAATTAAATTTTATAATGAAAAAAGTATTTGTATAGTTCAAAAGACACCTAAAAAGCCATATGAAAAAATATATGATATAACTGTCTTTCAATAAATTGTAAGAACACATAGGTTCACAAGTAAACTGCTTAGCTGGAAGAACTGCAATATTTAATGAAGTGCAGAATCAGAACACTATTTCACAAAATGACGATCTGGAAAAATCACACAGTATCTATCATAAAATACAAATATGACTGGTTTAGCAAACTGATCAAAATATAACTGATCCTTCAATTTTTGAGATTGCAGTATACATCTACATATAATTATTGATCATTTTTATTTATTATAATGGGTATTTGTCAAATTTTAACTATCATCATTGCTCAGAAGTCTTATGCATAATACATAAACAGTCAATAAACGTGCTGTGGGTATTACATGCATTACTCTTGTGATAAGAGAAAAATACATGGCTTGTTTTATTTGTTTATGGTAAAGCACACAAATTCTATCTGTCTAAGGAGGGATGTCTTTCTGGAGGACTTTCTAAAGGAAACTGGCTCATATCCACATTACACACGGGGAAAACCATAAACATACCCTTGCAGTGAGCCCACTCACCCGGAATCAATTTCAAGTCAAACCACTAGTGTTCAGTAACTTTATTGCTCGGCTGCTGGTTGAAGTACTATTATAGTGTAATGAATAACATAATAACTTTGTGTCAATAGAATGTGAATCAGCTGAAAATCAGTAATTACACAGATATTACATAACATAAAAGTTCTGTATATGTCATGCCATGATGAAAGAATATTATGAATCCTTTATATTAGCAAAGTAAATGCAATTGATACAATTTTGCAATAATCTAACCTATGCACTAATAAATCAACAAATTCTTACGATGTATTGTCATATTCAGGACAGAATTATAGAAAAATGGTTGCACTAAATAAACATTTAGGTAATTTTAATAATGCTATCTTGACTTTTTAAAATTTATTACTCATGTGTATTAGTTGGAATCCTCTGATATAATATGTTAATTCTGTAAATTTCATCGGAGATTATTGGCATGTTTTTGGGTCCTAATTTTTTCTTTGAACTAATTAAAAAAAACACTGGACAAAAAAATAGAAACACTTTAATAAGAAACTTACCATATAAAAGAATAATAATGATTTATAAAGATGATTTTTTTTCTATTCAACTCTGAAATTTTTCACTAAATGATTGCTTTTCTTAAGAAAAATATATATGGAGAAAAGATGGGTACAGGAAAACTTTGCAACAGCATGAAGTTACAAATTATTTTAAGAATGCTCAGCAATGGATAAATCAGAAAATCTGCAACACTGTTTGTTCCCAAAGGTGTGTATTGAGAACACAGCAAAGCACACTAGGGCTGTCTGCCTAAGGAGAGGGATGCCTTCGTGGAGGACTTTCTAAGAGAACTCGCTCATATACATGTTACACATGGGGAAAACCACGAAAACGGTCATTGCAGCCAGCTTGTTCACGGGATTCGAACCCCGGACCTAACTACCAGTGTTTTACCGCTTGGCCGCTGGTGGGCCCTGTTCCCAAAGAAGGATTTTTACAGCAATAAATGACCAAATTTACCTGAATATTAATTAGCCATCTAAAACTTCAAGAGTGAAAAGAATGCTTTTCTGAAATTGAAAAAGAGAGAAACAATTTTTGTTCGCCAAAGAGCTTCAAGGCGAACATAATCTTAATGGATGTGACACAACAGTTCAACACACACTAGTGAATAAAAGGATGTATTCTTGACATAAAAGCAAGCCTCCTTTTATGAAGAAAATACACAGTAGAAGGCACGTATGTTTTGTCAAATTATACTATATCAGAAATGACCTAAAAAGTCACAAACAATGGAGAAAAGTACTCTGGGGCAATAAAACAAATTTGTTTACGGATGGGAAATATAGTTTACTAACCTCAATGCCAGAGTAGAGGTGGCAGTTTTATGTTGTATGCTTGTTTTATATGGCATGGCTTGGCCCCAGTATGTTTTGTATAGACAATACCATGGCTTGTTTTATATGGTATGGCTTGGGCCCAGTATGTTTTGTATAGACAATACCATGACCAATGAGGTGCATGTCATGGATAATACAAATAATACAATATCACCATGGCAGAAAAGAACCAACTAACTCAAATGGCGCTCGCTATCAACACGATAATGACCCAAAGCTTTCAGTAAAGCTGCCAGAGAGCTGATTTGAACAAAAGAACATTCATATTCTGCACTCTCAGACACTAAAGAACAGAGGCACAAACAGGGAAAAAAAAAAGATCATCAAATTTGAAGGAATGCAGGAAAACTGCAAAAGATGCATTTTATTCTATGTTGAAAAATGTCAAAAAACAATTTCAATTTGTTTACCAATTTACAATCATCTGTCTCTTTTCTTACAAGTTTGTGGCTTTTAGGCTGGCATCAGCCATACTAGTTCTCAGTTTCTACATTTTAGTTCAATTAAAAAAAATAATAATAATAAATAAAATAAAATGATTGTTAGCAACAAATTCAGTAAAATTCAGTGTCTTAGATTCAAATATATAAATACAAACTGTTGTAATGAATTAGTTGCCAATTAAGTTACCTGGACTAAAACATATTTACTGATAATGTATTTTGTCATGATGATTTAATTAATATATCCCATCCCAAACATGCACAATCCCTTAAAAGAATAAAGTAAAACATTCTGCAACTAAATATTTGTAATAAATAAAGCCAGATCTTTGGAAAAGCCTTCAAAAGCCTGTTTTTTGGCCAATGTATTTTTGGAATAGTTTAGTGAGAAACATCGATGCAAAAACACCTCAATAATCAATAACAAACACTTATGAAACAAATCAAATATATGACCAAGATGCAAATAATACAAATTAGCCATAAATAAAGAGAGTTAAAATGTTACATTTTAATTTGAATAAATTAATAATAATAAATAAAAAGTTTTCCAATTTTTTGGCCATAGCTATATATGTTTTTCTTGGCAGCAGTTCTAGCATAATTAGTGATTTTTCTGTATGGGATTTATAGCGTTAAAGTTGAATAATATGTACATTAAGCATAGTGAAAATTTTCTGCAATATTATGTTTACTAGACTAAGAAGATGTTTGTATGAAGAAGATCACCATCACATGGCATTTTAAACAGATATTGTTCATCACATAGTTAAGGAAGAACTAACCAAAAAACAATATGAGTTGTAGCACAATGCACCATGTTTGGATTTTTATTGGAGTTTTTTTCATTTTAGTGTAAAACTGCCAATTCAATTTGTTTACCAATTTATAATCATCTGTCTCTTTTCTTACAAGTTTGTGGCTTTTAGGCTGGCATCAGCCATACTACTTCTCAGTTTCTACATTTTAGTTCAATTAAAAATAATAATAATAAAAAATAAAATAAAATGATTGTTAGCAACAAATTCAGTAAAATATTTATGTCTTAGATTCAAATATATAAATACAAACTGTTGTAATGAATTAGTTGCCAATTAAGTTACCTGGAATAAAACATATTCACTGATAATGTATTTTGTCATGATGATTTAATTAATATATTGGATAAAACTGAATATAAATTTAATGATTTATTTATATAATTGTTTTAATCTGCATAAATTTTCAATTAGGCCTTTTTATTTTTCCAGGATTAAAAAAAGAAAAAAAATTCACCGAAACTTCTGTGTTCGAATATATGAAATACATTTCCAGCAAATGTAGGCAGCTTTTACTTTTGTCTGAACATTCAAGTAAATGTGGCTCCTTAAGTCTTGTTTTGTTTGTTGCCACCAGATGATCACGCTGTTTGCTCCAATCGCACACACACTTTTCATCCACCTTATATACTCTTGCTGCTACTCTTTTTCCATTTTCCTGCGAAAATTCGACGACTTTCAGTTTAAAAGCCGCTGTATAGTCCCATTTCAAGCACACTGCTAGGTAACTACCACAGATTCCAAATGATACTATGAATGAAAACAGAAAGCTTGAAATATGTGAATGCTCCAAAGAGGAAGGAAGGGAAAGAAATTTCATTACAAAACAGTATTTCCTGGAAGCCAGTGTGGTGAAAACGTGTTAGGACTGCCTGCATCTGCAGAGAGGATTGTTGGCACCGATGTTATGACTGAATAACAGCTGCACCAAAATGCAAGGAAAGTCTCTGCTTTCCATCCTGGCACCAGCCAAAGACAAAACAAATGCATATTTTTTTTTTTTTTTAAAGATGTTTATTGGCTAATGTTATTGATTAAAGGGGAAAAAGTGATGTTAAAAAAAAAATATATTTTAAAAGTGAACAAATCTTTAGTTTTTGGGGTGCGGACATTGTGTGGGTCATTTTTTCCCCCATAAATTTTATCTGATAAGTTGGGGTGCGGGCATTACATAAACATGGACATTACACGAGTGTATACAGTACATTATTATAATATAAATAGACTTTTAGTACTGATTTGCTTAAATATGTGAAAAATGCCAGCATTCAAAATTTAATATAAATTTCAATTCTAGAACTATTATTAATAATTACAATTATTTATTAAAATTTATTATTATTATGCAATATTTGTAATAATAATAATAAAGACTAATCAATTCCCCCTACCTTTAATTTAAACTCTAATTCAGTATGATAACCAGTTTTTTCACAACAGATGTCAACTTTGCCACCTAATTCCAAAGTTAACGTACCCATCAGAATACCTTTGCAGTGAGCATAAGGCATGGTGATAGTGTAGTTTTCACCTCTTGTTAGAAGTGTTAGATGAGCTGTGCCATCCATAATGGCCGATATAGAGTTTCCTTTAAATAAAATATTATTAGTACTCTTAAAATATTTTTAGAGCTAATTTAAAATTATTACAGATGTTCCAAAAAATTATCAAATACAGTTTCTTTGTACACTTTTACCAGTGTTATCATTTTTAAAAAATTCCTAATTTTTTTAATTGCTATTTGAAGAGAAAAATCAGTTAAATAATTTATAAAGATATATTATTTTTAATATTTAACAACTTTATGTGCTACATTACATAATCTTACAAATATACTAAAAAAATAAATCATTAAATCACCGAGTGTTCAAATGCACAATTTATTGCACTAAATGATTTTATGACTGAAAAAAATACTCCTAATTTTTAAGAAATTTATAGTTCATAAATATTACATATATATTGAAGAAATAAATCTTAATCATTCATAACTAAAACTATACAATTCTCAGTATATACACTCTTTTGCAAAAAAATCGAAGCACCAAGAAGGGCTTTTGTGATCGTGACAAAATTTAGTATGCAAAAACATCTTGATCGAGCCTGCAAATGATCGAAGTTTCAAAGCAAATGAACAGGAATTGCGATCATAGTGCGCATTTCTTATGCGCAATTCACAAAGTATAAAACCAGTAAAAGAGGCGGAAAATGTACCTTTTTTTCTTGCTGCCATTGTAATTCCGTACAGAAGACGCCATCACGATAATATCGAAGACCTTACAGACAACTAAATGACTTCGAATGTGGTCGCATTGCAGGGTTGCATGAAGCTGGTGGTCATATCGAGCAATAGGCTACCACCTGCAAAGTACAGACACTGCTGTGCAAAGATGTTAGCAGCAATGGGTGCTACAAGGAAATTGCTGACGAAAAGAAGCCTCTGAAAAGCCAAGGAAACAAATGCGAGGCAAGATAGGATGACTGCTGTTCGCCAGGCCCGAACAGCCCCCAACAGTATCATTGTTGACTATTCAACACAATACAGCCACGTGTATACCTCCTGTGATACTGTCCACCATCTCATGGTGCTTGTCTGAGGAGAGGTTACGGTCACAGAGGCCTTTAAGACGTTTGCATTTGACCACACAACATTGACGGAGTTGTCTAAAGTGGTGTCGCAGCCAATCATTATGGCTGCCATCAGACTGGCACCCTATAGTGGTTCAGTGATGAACACCGCTTCACTCTTGAAGCAGATGACCATCGTGTTCGTGTCGGGAGAGAACGGGGCCAGCCTTTGTTTTACAAAAGCATACAGCCATAAGCCCTGGTGTGATGGTGTGAAGCGCTATGTGTTATGACAGCAGGTCATCTTTAGTCATCCTCCGTACATCTTTAACAGCTTAATGATATGTTGATACCATCTTGTGGCCGGTTGCATTACCCTTCATGGCACCTCATCCTGGGGCCATTTTCCAACAAGATAATGCCAGGCCACATACTGCTCGCATATCTCTGGACTGTCTTTGTGGTTGATACTCTTCCTTGACCAGCAAGGTCACCAGACCTTTCACCAATCGAGTATGTCTAGGGCATGGTAGGCCGCCAGATTCAGGCACCAAAAAATATCGCAGATCTGGAGCAACAACTGATGAATGCATGGCAGAATGTGTCGTAGAATGACATTAGGAACCTCTACCACTCCTTGCATTGATGAATTCAAACATGCATTGCTGCCAGGGGAGATTCGACCAACTACTAATTTGAACACTCAGTGGGTGACTGTAAGCCGTGAACAGGTATTATAACCTTGATTTTTAAATTATTTTATTACCTGTGTATGAGCTATACACACATTCAATTTCATCAAAAACAACCACTTCCTTCATGTTGTTTCTATTTTTTTGCAAAAGATTGTATATATATATTAATTTTTATTTTTTCCTTTTAAATATGTATATATATGTAATTTTTTTTAAAAATAAAACAGAAAAAGAAATTAAAATTTTAGTCACTAACATAGTTTAAGTTTAAGAAAGCTTATTTAGTTTTTTAATCATTTTTTCCTGGAAAACAATTTATAGCACTAAATAAAGACTTTAATTTCATTAGCATTATAAATGTAAAGATTAAATATACATCAATTTTTTTTTTTTACTCTGTGACTTACCAGATGAAGCAATCTTTCAAATATTTAACTGATTTTAAAGATTTGAAGATGCAAAAGACATTTGTTAATTAAAATAAATAAATAATTACAAAAAAATTTTAAAAATTAAAAAAAATATTATCTAAAATTCCATTATACATCTTAACAACTAGCTAGTTGACTTACTTACACTTTTTTAGTCTAAGCATAATGTATGAAGAAATCATTCATTTGAGTTTATAGAAATTATTATACTCCTTATTAAATAACTCTATAAAATAATACATCCAAGCATCTGACATTATATATATATATATATATATATATATATATATATATATATATATATAAGTACAATCAATTCAGAATATATTTATTGAAATAAATATTTACTTTTATTAAAAATGGCATTATTTTAACCCCTTAACTGCCACGGACGTATATATACGCCTTGCTCAGCCGATGCGTTAACTGCCCCAGGCGTATATATACGTCCTTCCAAACTGCTATCATTTGCTTTGCTGCTACACCTAAAATTATTCGCAAAGTTAACGCATCGGCTGCGCATTTGGGGCAGTTAACGCATCGGCTGAGCAAAGCGTATATATACGCCCGCGGCAGTTAAGGGGTTAATACATTTATAAATGTTCATATATAATATAAGTTTAAAATGAGAATGATTTTTTATTGAATGATTAAATATTTAAAACTTCCAAATAGCAACAGTTCATGTAAACAATAAAAACAGATTAAAAAAATTTAAATCATAAAATTATGATATAAAACTATTGCATGCTTCTATTGTTAAACTTACCATAAAATTTTGATTTTGCCAATATGCTGCCTCGTATGCAGAAACCATCTTGACGATTGCTAACATAGAATGCAGATACAGGAGGATGATGAGATACCTTGAAATAAAGATATAGCAGTAATTATATAAATTTTCAACAGCAAACTCATATAGGATATTAATACACACATTAAAAAACATATGAAAAATCATAGTTCTGTATTACAATATATCAATACAATTAAACCTTCATTGAGGATATTCCCCTTTAACAGATACAGAAGGTGTTAACACATTTTTTAGAACAATTTAATAATGAATTTAAAAAAAGCATATATTTTGGAATAAAAATTTCTGGCAGCAGCTTATATAAAATGGGAGGCATCATATTCTACTTTTAAATTTATTCTTCTTTCAAAATATCAAAAAGGTACACACTGAAGGTACATTTCCCAATGAACAATGGGCTTTATATTAATTGATGCAAAAATTTCAGTAACAAATGAATATGTATTACTACTTTTTGGAAAAGAGCTTCACTTTAATACTTCTTCCACTGTATACACAGTGAAGCACTGTATGCAACAGCAATAATTAATTTTCTACACTATCAACAAGTTCGTTATCTGCGAAATTACCTGCTCTGCAACATAAAATGTCCTCTGATCAGAATCTCTGTGCTTCCAAAAGCAACGAAACATTTCACCAAGAATAGGATTATATGGCTTTTTTAAACCCTTTGGTTTTTTGTAAAATCCAGACAGGTAGAATTTTGTTACCAGTTTCATTCTTGTAAATGGATCATCTTCAAGAACAGCACTGAAAGTATTAGATAAAATTAATGTAAGCAATTCATTAGCTATAGTAATTTTTTGTTATTTTTAAACAGAAATTAGTGCAAGCTACATAATAGTAATACATATGTAATAATAAGAAAGTAAATAATACATATTCAAATATTAGTTTTTTCAGTCTCGCATAAATAACCAGTATCAAGTACCATCAAGTTTTTCAGTTTCAATTATCAATTCAAACATTGGTACTGATTCATCTGCATTTTCATGCCAACTGATGTTCAATTTTTTTGGGTCATCGAAAAATGTTGTTTGCCAGCTTTACCCTCATAATGTTTTATTCATAAATAATAATAAATTAAAAAGCATTTTATAAGAAACAAGAAATTTTATTGGTGGGAGACAAAATGCAGTAGGACTGGGATAAATAACCAATTAGTGAAACTACAGCATGCAGATCTACATACACTTTAAACATGCAGGTATACCAAAAAATATGTAAAAAGCATGGCAATGAGTACAAACAATCAAAACCTATTCAAATATTTTCTGAATATACCATACTGCAAAAGAGATTGATAATATAATCAATAATATAATCAAATGAGCAAGAACTGACACAAAATTATAAAAAGAGTAAAACAATTTATATTCTGCAAACATAAATTAATGTTTATATTTAAAAAAAAAGGAAAACATTCAGGTTTATCTATATGAGACATGCAAAACAATTAAGCTTATAAAAATTGTTGTAGGCATCCTAAATAATTAAATTTGCGAACAAATTTGTCTTACCTGGAGAGAATATCACAATGGTAATAATAATCTGACAACTTATCCAAAAATGAACGAGGTTCCAAAATAAATGTTGGAAGGACAACTTTGGATAAATCCATGCCTGGCCTAACCTACATTATAGAAAGGAAATGAAATCATAAGGATTTCAACAATTGAAGAAAGTGATTAAGAATATGAGACATATAACAATGTAATTTACACATCACTAACATTATTACTAATTTTGTTAGGTAAAATATCTAGACAGGTTTTCTTATGTAATATATGAAAATTCTAGTTTTAGTATAAAACTGAAAGGAATTAATTCATAAAATAATACAAAGTATGAAAAATATTATTTTAAAAAACATATTAACAGAATAAAAAACAGAAAGATGAGAAGTAAAAAGAAAAAGGAGCTTTTATGAAAAAACCCTTTACTTCCAACTCATTTACTGGTAAAAATGAAGAGCTTCAATAAAACAGCTTAATAAAGAACTAAACCAATTTTTTTAACGTAAATCAAAAACTGTTACAGACATAAAACAGCAAACAAGGAAATTTTTAAAATCTATGCACAGCAAAATTCTAATAATATGGCATGAGAAAGAAAGACTTTAGATCAGACTAAAACTGTATGATGCTGCAAAGATATTTTTTTGTGCGTTACTGAATATACTAAAGAATGAAAATGTTGCATAGAGTACTTCTGCAAACTAAGTAGTAATTTATTTATAGTTTAATTATATTTAATCAGTTTCTGCTTTGAAATTATCAATACTGAATATGAATTCGATGAAATCTTTCCAAAGAGTTCAAATATTCACTTGCTGTGAAAATTAGTAAAGAAACAATCTTGTATTTGGCATAGATTTAGACAAAATCTATGCCAAATAGAAGATTGTTTTGTCTATAATACATAGATTTCTCTAAATCTATGCCAAATTACAAGGTTATTTCTTTACTAATTTTAAGATACATAACTTTTTTCAAAATGATTTGCACATTTTATTTAAATAATATGCGAATCTAAAATTTCCAGTAAGAATATTTTTAGTGTTATTAAACCCAGCCACAACTATAATGAGCTTCAGAAAATTTGAAATATTAAATTAGTTTAGATCTTCATCAAAATTCATTCTTTATTTTAAAAAATATAATTTAATAGATTTTAAAATGAATTATTACAGATTTTGTTTCATTTCAAACTTTTAAAACATAAATCATCATTTCTGTTATTTCCCTGAATATATAAGACAATAACTAAAAATCAGCACAATAGTGACATTAAGATTAAAAGAGTTACCTAAAAATTATTAAAAAAATAGCATATAAGTAAAATTTTGCATTACATACATGTGAAAATACACTCAAGCATGGATTTGTTATTTTGAATATGTTTTGGCTTATTTAAGAATAGTTATAATCAATATGGAAACTATAAAACATGCAGTTATAATAATTACATAATAATAACAATGCACTTTTAATTGCAGTTTGCATTCTATGTTAATTTTCAGAATGATAATGTAAAGAAAACTGGAAATCTGTTTAGAGGATGGGAGGGATGTATACATACAGTAAATTTCAATATTCCGAGTTGAAAATTTAGATTAAAAATAATAATTATTAAATAATAAAATTTAGTAACTGATGATACATTATGTCTACATTTTACTAAAATAAAAAACTACCTGTTTCACTAGTGTCCATATCAGGGATTTATTTTCTTCAGCTACTTCTTCCGTCTGCCCAGCATCACCAGCCTATGAGAAGAAAAATATCAAAATAACATTTCATCATTTTGTTCTGAATTTTTCCCCAATTGCTTTACACTAAATTTACTACATACGTCAACTATGTAGTAAATGAATTTCAAATCTGAAATTTTTCTGAACGTCTCATTTTCGTGAGCTTCAATAATTAATTTTTTAAGATCTCCTCAGAAGATTTTTTTCCGATTTTCATAAATTCCATATAATTCCACATTTTTGAGGAGGGGAGAACAGTTTTAATCAAGGAAAGACCCATTTAATGTGTGAAGGGACGGGGGAAAGCCACACAAAATAAAAGCAGAAAATATTTACAGTCATAGGCAGCTTTCATTAATAAAGCTTTTCAATACACAAACAATCTACTGATTTAAAAGGTAAACAAATCTTTAACGAACATTACAGACTTCAGAAATATAGAATTTCCTCTTTTATGCAAAATAACACATTTTTCAGCATTTCTGATTTCAGAGTTGCTTTTAAAGCCTTTTGAGATATGTTAAAAGTAACATCATATACAGTACAAAGTCTTTAATCCGGACCTCAAACTTACAAACTTTCTGCGCATACGTAAATGCTACGCATGCACATATGCGTTTATGCATGTGCATAATACCTTTATGCATGCGCATAATATGTTTATGCATGTGTGTTTAATGTATAACGGGCGGCATAAACTAGGCTAAAATTATCCAATTGTCTATTTCAGTTAATGTTGCAGATTGAGTTGTTCCTTAATCTTCTAATTGGATCCGGCTTATTATTTTTTGCAGACTGTTAGAGCAATTTTATAAAAAGTAAGCTTGAACTTTCGATTATGTCAAAAAGATTTTCCGATTCTGGAGCTGCCAAAGGATCTACAAAGCAAAAGCATGTTTCGATGTCCATCAAACAAAAAGTAGAATTGCTGCAAAAAATGGATAAAGGCATAAAGAAAGTGACAGAAAGGTTAGTGAAAACGAAAAAATTTCGATTGACATATTAAAGAGAAAGTATTAGCACATAAAACGAAGCAACTTAAACAACTTACATTGAAAGAAATGTTTAATAAAGTAAACAAATAAATATTAAGCTTTTTTTTTGTACATTTTGATACCCTTTAGATCATAATTGCTCTTTATTTCATAAATTATGGTTTCATATTTTTAATTTTATAATTTCTGTATGCCATCTTACCAGATTTAAATTGATGATCTATAATCCGGAAAAACCCTAATCTGGAATCGCCAAAGTCCCGACGAGTCCGGATTAAAGACTTTGTACTGTATATAATTACACCTTCTTTTAACACACACTTTAGAGAAAATCAACCCATATATAGTATGAAAATTTATAGGTCTTTGAAATTTTAATTAATCCTTTCCATATTTTCTTCTTTCACAACTATACATGATAGTGATTCTCAACATTCAATAAAACTCAGACATTTTAAAATCAATTGATGATTATTTTTTATGACATTTCAAGGCAAGAAACTTAACACTCACGATATCAAAATAATAAATGACATAATTTCCTACCCTACTTCCAATGCAGTTCTGATACTTCATTAAAATTATCAAATTATAGTCCTGTATTAAAATGCTACAGTTTATTGGGGGAAACAACTCGAATTCCGCCCTAATCTTAGTTGTTTCTGTCAGGTGACACCAAGAGCCATAGCTAGGGTTTTTAGCACCCAGGAGACAACTGAAGAATTTATGCATCCTCCTGTTTACCAAAAATGGAAACTATTTTATAGTATCAAATAGACGCCTCCTGGATGCTATGCCCAAGGACAGATGTCCTGCCATGTCCCTCTGCAACTGACCACACCTATTGTTTAAGTCACTATTTGAAATTCCTCCCACCTAAGAATTGGGTATTCTGAAATACCAAGGGGAGAATTTTTGTTTGAAGGTTTTCTTGCAAAATCTAGAGATTTTCCATAAAGATTTCAAGTGCAATCACAAACTGCTAACAATCGACACTGAAAAGTTCACTGATTGCAACAAAGCAGATAAATTGTTGTCATTTTGGAATTGAAAAACATTTGGATGAAGGGTTAAAAAGAAAAAAATCCAAGCAGCAGCTTTGGAATGGAAAGGCAGTTAGTTATACATATATACTCAACATATTCTGTTTAAGACACAACAGCAGTACTGTATTTTGGTTGCATTAGGTAATGTTATTTGTAAGCAATAAAAATAATGTAAGTGCAAAGCACTAAACTGTGAATTCAGAAAAAAAAAAAAAAGATGGTAAAATATTTAGACATACTTCATTGTGAAATACTTCCATTTTTCTGTTATAATTGTAATATATTTTTTAAGAATTTACTTGCAATTTTTTTTTCAAATGTAAGTCAACAATATTATTATAGGCATTTAATACAGATAACTGCTTGACAATTCTTAATATTTCAAAATAAGACCAAGAGAAAGTAGTCTTGCAATATTTACTGCTTTCTTAATTGCATCATACATTAGAGCTGAAATGTTTTAAGTATGGTTACAGCAACCAGAAGCAGTAACAGCTAGCAGGAGGAGAATAATTCCTGAATTTAATTTCTTATTACATCAGAAACTTTTTCAGATACCTCAAAAAATGTAATTTTCTCATTATTTTTATGATTCGCATTTCCCTCCGGCATTATTAATACTGGAAATTTCCAATTGGATGTTAGAAATATGACATAAGATTATGCCAAAGGACTATCATTTGTGGTTTTAACCTAGAAATACATAATGAAGACTCAGTATGATCATAGTTATGTAAATGAATACACATAAGATTTTTAAAAAATTCTGATTTTTTCTTTACACATTTTTCTAACATAACAGATTGCTCTCACTAACTATCAGGCTGATAAATGTAATCCTACACCCGCATTTTAATGTTACATGTCACGTACACTAAATATTTTATAAGAATGTTTTTAATAGTAAAATCTGAGTCTATTGTTTTATATTCACATCTATAATTTTAAGAATTTTATTTTTTGAACTGTTGTTTAGTTGCACAATATCATACTATTCTATCTGCTCATTAAAACCTAAGGATGATGGGTACTCTTCTGTTATCAGGACCAAATTCATAAATGCATGTGCATATATATGTGTGTGTGTATACACATCCATCCATAAATACATGCATACATACATACATTTATGAATCCGGTCCCGATAACAGAAGAGTACCGGATGACATTTTTAAATTATCTGTTGCAAAGATGGTAATGTAATAGCCAAAGGATACGACAGACTGCGTTTTGATGCACAGAACTTCACAGCAGCATACAGAATGTATCAATAATAAATGTTTACATATTGAAATAAAATCCCTATAAATTAATAACAGAAATGAAATCAATGGAACTTTGTAAGGAAAACAAATGAAAAATTTTATTCTATTTACTTAGAAAAGAAGACCTAAACACCAAGACTTAAAAAAGAAAGTATGATATGTATTTGCAGTAAGAATGAAGGAATAGTAATGATAGACGAAATCACAAATGAAAGAACAATAATGCCAAGGAACATACCAATCCAAATTCTTCATAATCATTAGCAACATATGGAGTTTCTACAGGAGGTGTTTCTACATCTTCTACAGGTCGTGTATCAGATTCTGAGTCTGTGGAATGAATACTATGGATACCATCTATATCACCTTCTCTATTATCATCAGTATGAACATCATCATCCAGATCTACAGATTATATATATATAAAAGATGTTAGGAGATAGGAAATAAATAAGCATAAAATACTAACATAAAAATAAAGTATAGAACAAGCAAAAACATTTATGAATACAAAACGTAAGTGATGCCATTCACAAAAGGGTAATGTTATTTTTAATAGTTCGCTGGCTTTGCCGCAACATCCTCCCCACCCTGGTCAACCTCCAGGGGGATGACCAGCTGCACAGGTCGGGTAATGGTATGTCCATTGGTGCGCAGAACACAAGTACGGACTTTCTTTGTCGCGGCCAAGGATTAGCTCCTCAACACGGGCCTTTTTCCAGGTGTGGCGAGGTCTAACATCTTCTTGTAGTAGGACAATGTCCCCTTTCCGTATTTTATTTGTTTCAGATGGATTCCGCACTTGATGAAATGTACGCAAGTCCATCAAATATTCCTTTTGCCATCTTTTCCAAAAGGAGTCCATCAAATGTTGACGATTCTTCCACATACGATTTAAATTTGTTTCAAGATTTGTGGGGCTGGAAGGAATAGTAGTTAATTTCTTTCCTATGAGGAAGTGCGAGGGTGTTAAAGCTTCTTCAGAGTCATCTTTTATTCCATATTCGTGGACAATCGGTTTACTGTTAAGAGCCGCTTCAATATCACATAATACAGTGATCAAACCAGCGTCATCCAAAAGAGCCTTACCTAATGTTTTCCGAAGGCATCGCTTAATTGAGCCAATCATTCTTTCCCACCATCCTCGCCACCAAGCCGCCCGGGGGCGATGAATTTCCATTTGATGTTTTGGTGGGCATCAAAATGCTGTGCCTTAGCAGAGGATATAGTATCCCACAATAATTTCAGCTCTTTGTCCACAGCGCAGAAAGTTGTGGCATTATCAGTGTACACTGTATGAGGAAGTGAACGTCTAGAGACAAAACGTTGTAATGCAAGTAGGAAGACGTCAGTACGCAGATCGGAAACTAATTCTAAGTGGATAGCTCGAGTTGTAGCACATGTGAAGATGACAATGTAAGCTTTTGTAACGGAGTTATTATTTTTTACGTAGAGTGGTCCAGCAAAATCAATTCCGGTAGTTTCGAAAGGAGATGACTTTTGAATTCGCTCAGCTGGTAATGGAGCTTCTATCTGTTCACTTCTCTTTTGTTTCAGTACTTTACATGGAAGGCTTTATCTCCTTTTTAATGGCTTGTCTTGCTCTTAATATCCAATATTCTGAACGAAGCTGAGAAAGTACAATCCGAACACCGAGATGATGCATTCGTAAATGTGTTTGGCGTATCAGTAGGCTTGTAAAATGATGAGAACCTTCCAATAATATGGGATGTTTTTCAGCATGAGATAAATCAGAAAATTGTAGTCGACCACCAAGAAGTATAATATTGTTCTTGAAAAAAGGGTTAAATTGTTTTATCCTTGATTTCTTAGGGAGTGATTTTCCTGTCAACAGAGCTTCATATTCTGAAGGAAAGGATTCTTTCTGAACGGTCTGTATCCAATAAATACGAGCCTGATTCAGTTCTGTGGCATGTAACTCACCCACTAACTTTTTTTTTGTTTCCTACAGTTGTGAATAAAGCGAAGTATCCAAGATGTTACACGTAACAATCGAACGTAAGAACTGTAGTTTCCAGCCTTTATGATTGGTTGAGTAGATACGATGTGAAGGGTCTGAACTTTTTCTTTCTTTCTTTGCCTCGAAGTTATGACTGTAATCTTTAGAAATAGTATCAGAATGAGGCCAATATTCTAGAGATTTGACTAACCATGGAGGGCCGTTCCACCAAATTTCCAGGTTTTTTAGTGTTGATGGTGAAACACCTCGAGAAAGTTTGTCAGCTGGATTGTCTTTGCCAGGGCAATGTCTCCATTGTGAAGGATTGGTATAGGAAATAATTTCTGTTACTCTGTTGCTAACAAAAGTTTTCCATTTGTTGGGGTCACTGCGTATCCACCCTAAGACAACTTGAGAATCACTCCACAATGTTGCATTTGACGAACAGATGTTTGTTTCAGCACAGAAATATTGCAACAATCGTGCTCCCATCAGGGCGCCAAGAGCTCCAAACGAGGTAAGGTAACTTTCTTTATAGGAGCTAGTTTGTTGCGACTACACACTAAATTCACATTCGATTGGTCACCTTTAAAGGTAACAATGTACAGAACTGAACCATAGGCACGTTCAGATGCGTCACAAAACACATGAATAGCAAAAGGAACATGTGATGAAATGCCTATGCATCGAGGAATTTGAAGGGAGCAAATGTCATCAAGTTCTTTCACAGCTGCATACCATAAAGTTGATAAATTAGCAGGTAGTAATTCATCCCACTTGATTCCAAGAATCCATGTATCTTGGAATAAGATTTTCCCAAGAATAGTAAACGGTGAAAAAAGGCCTAAGGGATCATAAAAACTAGCAATGCAGCGGAGTAAACCATCTCTTTGTAAGTGGTTTGTCTGTAGAAACACAGAGGGAAGTCTTGAATGCATGCTTCAAAGTATCAGAAGTTGTATTCCAGCCAATACCTAAGACAGTTGTTTCCGTTTTGTGAGATTCTTCATGTGTTTGTAGTACATCTTTGAGTTTCAAAGAGTTTGTAGCCCATTTTTCCATAGGCAATTTTCATTAGAGCCATTAAATTCTTGATCTCGTGATATAGCATTATAATGCGTGATTCAGTTTCCATACTAGCAAGAAAGTCATCCATATAGAGATGTTTATCTATCATTGGTGCAGCAATTGGAAATTCTGCGATATGTTTTGCAGCCAATTCTCGTGTGGCTGCACAGAGTAAAAATGGACTGCAAGTAAGGCCAAATGGTAAACGAGTAAATCTGTAAACATTTTTTTCATCTGTAAAAGTAGTAGGTTGAGATGAATCAGATTTTAATTTGTACCACAAAAATTTTGTAAGGTCTATATCTTCTTTATGTAGTGACAACTGTAAGAAAGCTTGCTTACCATCACATTTAACAGCGAATTCATGCATTCGAAATCTTAGTAGGCAACCAATAGTTTCAGGAAGAAGATTTGGGCCAGCTTCCAAGGTATTGTTCAGTGAAATCATTCCTGGAGCATGCGAGGAAGCAGCAAACACAATTCTCCACTTGGTTTCAGATTGCGTTTTCTTTCTTTCAGCATGATGAGGAAGGTAATATACTGGCTTCTCATTGGATTCATCTATGGAACAAACTTCAACATGCTTTTGTTCAATGTAATTCAGCATGCATTTGTCATATTGTGTCTTTAACACATCACTAGATGCAAGTCTTTTTTGAAGAGAATGAAATCTGTTTTCCGCTATAATTTTGTTTGTAGGCAAAGGTGTGACCAATGGTTTTCTAGGCAGAGACACAATTCTTCGATTGTCTTCAGTGTTGTAAGTTTTGTGAAATTCTGATAAAATTTCTTCATCTCGAGTAGTCATTCTTCGTTTCTGCGCATCTTGTATCCCTATGGAGTCTAATTCCCAGAAGCGACGTACCTGATCATTTAAACAATCAGTTTTAACTTGCACACAAACTTGATGGACAGAAGAAGTCTTCTCAGCGATTGTAGTATGTGTTCTTGTTCCACTAAGAACCCATCCAAACACTGACGGTACCATAACAAAAGATTCTGAAAGCTTGATTGGAGCTTCTGTGGAAACAATTTGCCAATAATGATCACCACCAATAAGTATTTCTATGGGCAGTGAAGAGTCATCCGGAGGATCAGCAATTCTCAATCTTTTCTTCTGAGCAAAGTGAACTATTTCTGGTGGAGCAGTAGGATGTGTAGTATAGGAATTGGAGCTTTCAAATGCGGAGATCAAAAATGCTTGGTTGCTCCACAAACTTGAAAGTGACAGTTGAACACATCTACGTTGTTCTTGTGAAGTAAAAGATTCAAATGCTTGAACTGAAAGTGAGGCAGAACTGACAACTTTAAGCTTAAGTTTTTCAATGAGGTTTTGTGTGAACAAAACTTGCTTGGCTACCACCATCTAAAATGCAGCGTGTTAATTTAGTAATGCCAGTAGGGCCAGTAACATGCACACGAGCAGTTTGCAAATGTATGAAAATTGTTTTCGGATAGGTTATGTGATTTACAGCACTGTTAGTTATCCGCAGTTGATTGTTTTCAACAGGAGGAGGACAAATAGAAACATGATGCCTTTTCTTGCATTTAGTGCACCGTGCAGTATTTTTTCTTGGGCAGTTTGAAACTCTATGACCACGGTTAGTACACAGAAAAGCAGCTTTAAGTTTTGAACACGAGTAGTTTTAAGTTCAGTCTGAAGTAACGAGTATCATAGTCTGTAACAGTTTCACAATATTGAGGCCAATGTCCTGTAGTATCACAAAATGAACAAAATGGTGAAATTTTCTTACGTTTGTTTACTGTTTTGGAATTGATATTAAAATTTTCTACAGTGCACTTTACGGTGTGATCAGAAAAAGACGTACCTTTAACTCTTTGTGCTGCAACTACACCTTCCACTTCTTCTGCCAAGAACTGCATCAATCTAGTAATATTACCTTCGTTTAGTTTTTCACGCTTGGCATAGATAATCCAGCGGCAACAAATATCATTGGGGAATGCACGAATAATTTTTGGCACTAGGATTCTACCGTATGCTTCAATATTTTCACCCAGAGCAGTTAAAGCTTGAATTCTTCTGTTACATTCTATGTAAAGATCATTTAGATGCGTAGGAGATGGGTCTTGAATAACATTTAAATGTTCTAAGTAATCTAAGTGTGATTGGATAATTCGATCTTTATTTCCATATCTTTCCTCCAACAATTTTTTTGTTGTTTCATAGGTGTCTCCTATTACACTAATTCCATCAACAAGGCGTTTAGCTTCACCATCTAAATAACCTCTGAGGAAAACATGTTTATCAATAACAGAAAGATGTGGATTGGCATCTATAGAAGATTTAAACTGTTCCCAAAAACATTGCCACTGTTCAATTTCTCCTGTAAATGATTGTAGTTTAACTGTTGGCAATTTAACTGTTGAGTCATAGACACTATAGTAGAAGGGTCGTCAAATGTCATCGGCAAATCATTGGTATCCATATTCGAAGCATTAACATTATTTCAGTTGGCGATAATTTGTTCTGAATAATTTTTCATGCTTTGAAAATTGTGGATTCACCAGTATCTATGTAAGGGATGTCGCGGCACATAATGAATTGGAAGTTGATCTGTCAGCACTATCCTCATCTTCAGGGCAGATGTATTTATTTTATTTCGGCTTATAATTCCTTACTAAGTGTAGCATTTCATCTCGATGTACTCCATCTTTGATACGATTTAAATCAATTTCCTCGTCATTATAAATATCACGAATACACATCAAATGATTTCCTGGTTGCAATTTTCTAATTTCGACCATGCGTAATGTATGCTTTACGCATGCGCGCGTCGAAAGAAATGTTCAATAACGTAAACAAATAAATATTAAGCTTTTTTTTGTAAATTTTGATACCTTTTAGATCATAATTGCTCTTTATTTCATAAATTACGGTTTCATATTTTTAATTGTATAATTTCTGCATGCCATTGTACCATATTTAAACTGATGATCTATAATTCAGAAAAAACCCTTATCCGTAATCGCCGAAGTCCCGACGAGTCCAGATTACGGACTTTATACTGTCAACACATTTTTCAGCTTGTTTACAAAAGAAAGGAATAGATTAGTTCTATGCCAATTTCGTTCAAATAATTCTAAATGCAGAAATGCCACTAAGGCATCCAATGCTTCAAGTACAGTGCATTTTACATTTTCAAAGCCATACAAACATATACTTCCATACAATTAAAATACTTTTAACTTTTCTAAAGCTATCTAGCTGCATTACATTGTTTTTGTTCAAATGCATGCAAGACTAATGTGAGTTTCTCTAAGTTATATCTATGTAAATATCTTGACTTTTATATAATAGATTTATTGGCTAGTTACAACAAAAACAGAATGCACAGAAATATAATAATAATGAATATCTAACACATAAAAATAAATCGTTATACAAATTTTAATCAGTAAGACTTTTACCATGATCCTGAAAGTGTTGTTCAGGGTCAACTTCCTTCCATGAAGGTAAGGGCTCTTGAGATGAACTACTACTGGGTAGCATTCCTTGAAGAAATGGGGGCGGCACTTCTTTCCCACTCATAGTCCTCATCAACAGTGATGAGCACCTCAATGCAAGCTCTAGGGCATCCATCCAGCATTTACCAGCTTGCTCTGAGGGTGCACGAAATATCAGATGTGCAACTGGTAATGGCTGAACTAGGGCACCAATAGTTTCACCTTTTGGACCCTGCACAATATAGACTTCATATTAAAATTGATATTGCTTTTTATCTTGTTTAATGAATATAAAATTGCCCAATTATTAAAAAAATCTAGAAATCACATACGTAAAAAAGAAATATTTATAAAATATATAACTATTTGCCATATTCTAAAAATCTGATGTATTTATTTTGAGTTACTATTATAGATGACAGAAGTATAATGATAGGTCGAAAAGCGCACATTTGTCTCATATAGCATCACAGCTGCATAAAACTGCTATTCTGAAGCTGTAGATTTTTGTTTTAATTTGAAAGAGTAGCATTTGGAACATAATATTTTAAAGTTGTTATTATTTTTAGTAATACTTTTTTAAGCTATCTGAATCAGCCATAATGCATATCAAAGCAATTTCAATTATGGATCTTTAAATAAAAATTTTACACTGAGAAGCAACTGGATGCAGAAATTAGAGCTTACATTTCATTTTATAAAATACTGACCTTACAAGGAATGTCTTCCACCTTTAAATTTTAAACAGGCTGATAGAAATATGGCTGTTTTATATATGAAATATGGCACCAAAATGAACAATACCGGTTAAAATTAGCTACCGAATTCCTACAGATGAATAAGAAAATTAACAAATACAAAGTTTTGGGATTGTCAAAAATTAATTTTAGAGAAGTCACAATGCAGCTGTCTACTGCTAGACATATTTACATTTTTTAAAATTGTCTGCTACAGTCATTCAGTTTTTGCCTCTACTCTTATATGTGTCCTAATATCACCAAATGTGGCAATATGTGTTCTGTGCTGGTTTTTGGTGCGATTATGTGTTGTATGGCAACCCTGTTGACATAGAAAAATCTTCTGCTGCAGTGGTTTAATTGCTCGTTGGTTCGTGTCCTGCATGTTTTGAAACGGCCTATGTTGCAATGATAGATGTGGTGGGAAGATTTTGGTCGTGTTATTTGAGATTGTGTGGAAAGTAAATTTAGTATTAAAAGGTACAATGTTGGAGTTGTTAATGAGTCTTTTGTTCCCGGGTGTGATTATGAGGATTGAAGTGTATTTCTGGAATTTCTGTGGGACTTTTAAAACGTAGTTAGAGCAGCTATGAGAACTCGTTCGAAGAAGGGCGTTCCTGATCGTTCTTGTGTGGATTTGCAGTCAAAGTATGTGGCTGTCAGCGAAGTTTAAGATTTGGATTGTGGTTTTGGTGTAGTAAGTTAATTTTGGAGGAAGTTTTTATTGTTACTTTCGAAATTTTGAATTTCAGAAAGACAGGTGATACAGCAAAATCGTGGCACTTTTGTTCAGAGACGTTGTGTGACTGGCAAAATTTTATTCCGGAATGCATTATGGTAAGTGCATTTTATTTTACTGCTTTTCTTTTGTAGAATGTTATGTTCATTGTTTTTTTACTATGAATTTCTGTTGTTATTGTTGTTTCTTGAATTGTTTGTAATTTAGTTTATTTGGTTGATTTGTGCGCAATGCCTAGATTGTGCAATTTGTAGATATTTTTTAAAGTTTAAACAGAATGCTGTGTACATGGTATTCTTTGAAATTTATTGTTGTTATGTAAATTTATTCAACCGAGGTGTGCCTAGTTCGTATATTCCTTCAATGCCTAGAATATGCAATTTGTACATGTTTTTGAAGTTAAAACATATTGCTGTGTACATGGATTCTTGTCAAATATTTTTAGCTTAAACTGTGTCTTCAAAACGTGGTTTTTGGAGACATTTTAAGCTTAAAATTTGAAATGTAGACAAAAAATTGAGGTAGTAATATGGCAGCGTGGAGTTTCTCACCAAAAATGTTTGGCGAGAAATTTGGCAACCTGAGGGCGCATATAAGAGTAGTTCCCAGTTTTTTTTATTTGTATTATGTTCTACATGGTACGAATAATTTAGTTTTTTTGAATTGGTTTGCTTTCTCAGTAAAGTTTTACTGAAAATACTTCCTCAGTTTTCATTTAATCTACAACCTGCATTCGAAGTTACCCAATTCTTTATACCTTATTTACATTAATGACTGTTTATTTGTTACTTACTATTCTAACATAAAAGCAGACTGAAATTATATATTTTTCGAACTTGTGAACTTCAATTTGGCAAATATAGTTGCTGCAAAATATACGTGTTCCCCCCCCCATTACACTTCATTATACATTTAGCCCACAGTACTGACTTTGCATTTGAATCCAGGTACAACAGATAAATATCTAGGTAAAATGTTATTCTTTTTCTTTTAATTTTTTCATTGTTTATTTACAGTACTTCAGAAGCTATTAATTTTATCAATACATTATACATTTTCAAATGTATTTCATCCCCTGCCCTCCCACACAAATGAAAGTTCAAGATTGACAGATTTTTTCTATCACTTTTGTTTCCCTTGATGTAAAATAATGTTCTCAAAGTGGAGTTAATTACAACATTGCTTATATTCCTTAATTTAATTTGGCAACTATGAATATGCGAATTGTAAATAATATTACATGATTTACTGAAATACTATAACATCTCACATTGCCAGGAAATATTAAAAAAGCACATCACTGTTATCATGTAGTCCAATAAGACTTAACTTCACAGAAATACACAAATGTTTACACCTGTTCTTTTGGCATGTCTGGAAAGAGTGCAAGGAGGTGCTTCAAATTCTAATATCAAAGACTGTATGAGTAGATGGCTAAAACTTTTGCATGATGGAGGAAGTGGAACATGTTTAGGTTGTTGAGAAGGCATCAAACATGGTAAACGACTGGCAAGACAGACACAAGTCTGTACAGGCATAAAAGTAGGCAAAAGCTTCATACAAAGAATGTAAAAGCGATTTTAAGATTTATTCAGACAATCAGATAATAATCAAAAACATGCCACAACAGTCTCTCGGCAGGACTTAGAAGAGAAGGGCTAGCTCATAGCGCTTTTCCCCCTGAAGCAGAAAGTGAGAAGTGATGACGTAGCCATGATGACACTGAGCGCGCCAATATAATTCACAGCTTGGAAATTAACACTTTTGAACCAGCGTTTAAAATGAGCTGTGTGTGAAAGACAGCTATAATTTGGAAGAGGCAATGTTACTGCTTTATGCATTTTAGACTGAACCATTAAAAAATTTAATAATACTTACTCAATTTTAAAATAATAGATAAAATGTGCTACTCTTTTAACATAATGTTCCATGGTTTTTTTTATTTTTATTTGCAGGTTTTTTTTTTATTTAATGCACGTTTATTTCTAATCATTTCTTTATTTGCATGCTAACTGAGAGAATTTTTATACTGCTTCTAAGATAACTATAATAGCAGCTATTTAAATTTACTCAAAAAACAACTTTACATTGACATAGGTTTAAACATATATGACATATATGGCAACATTTCTGCTAACCTACGTTTGATTTTTTGCCTAATTGTAAATTTTACAATCGTTTTAATTCTCTTCAGATTCAATATAATAGGTATTTTTTTAAATAATTTTGTAATTTTATACTTATATCTATATTACAATTAAATAAATGTATATAAGATTGTTACCTTAATTTTGACAAAATAGCTTTATTCAGAGTACCTAAAACAGTTATTTAATTTTTCAAAAGTGCGAGTAAAGGAAGCAGGTCTTTTTATGCCAATTACTTTGATGTTTTATACTATTATATTTTATCTAGAATGCTAATCTAGCACAAAATCTAATCAATAATTAGTTACAAAGGATACAATAAGAATAACTTTAAGAAGTACTTAACAAAATTAGTTTGTTAAATACTTGTTATTCTTGTTGGTACTATTTTGGTACTATTCATAATACCGAAGATATTATCAATTAACTCATAGAAGTCAGATGCTTTCTGATTTTCTGTGGGTTAGAGTATACCTTTTGCGGTACTTTTTGAAAATAATGTTTTCTCTGGAGCGACTTTTTGTCTCTCGTTTCCCTTGACCATTAAATAATTTAGTTTTAGGTTGTGACACAATATGATTTCTTCTCAATCTCTATTTAAAACCTCTTTAATAATATCAAAATTTAAAACAGTTACATCTTCTAAAACAAATCCTCTATCTAAAACGCGGTTTCTCATTAATTTGAGGCAGAGCGCGAAATGAGACCTCTAATTAAAACAAACTGCACATTTTGAAAAAAACCAACTTAGTCCAGTTTAGAGTCATAGCAGAGTTTTCAATCTACGTATGTGCATTTCGTCAAAACTGAAAACGCATATTTTTCTACAGAATACAAATATTCGCCTTTTTCCTTCTTTAGAGTAAGAACATTACTTTGAATTCTTGGACTACACTAAAATTTAGAAAACACTAAAAAATAAAATAAACACCATTTCTTTAATTTGATAATACTAGGTAAAGCTATTCCAATTTTTTTCTTAATTTTTTTCTTTCCGAAAATCATAGCTTTAAGATGACAGAGCTCTTATGACAATGGAACGTGAAATATTTTCACTAGTCCATCTGATTTTTTTCTTCTTTTTCAGTAATGCATTAATCTGCGTCTTTATAAAAATAGGCTTTAGACATTTTTTCAAATTCTCCGATTTGTGCTCCCCCCCCCCCAAATTTCGCTATTTGAGATTTTAATTTCTGATACCAATTTCTGTCTAGATGTCGTCCACCTTCTTTGTCGCTGAACAAACATTCTAAAATTTTTCTTTTCTCTATTTTTCAATACTTTAATACAATTTAATACAATTTTCTAAGGATATTATTTTGTTCTTCAAATTATCAATGCATTCTTGTTTATCCTTAAACATTCAGGATGATCTATATTTTCATTTGTGAGTTTTATTTCAAAATCATTAAAATTTGATTTATTATTGTCATCATCAATTTCGATTTATTATTGTCATCATAATTTATTTTCGGCACAGCATTCCATTTCAACAGTTTCTTTTTGTGGCTATCCAAACAAGCGATTTTTCATATCATCTTCATAAACACTGCATAGAAAATGTTCGCTGCAGATTTTTCCGCTCTTCACATTAATAGAATCTTCTCTTTGACATTTGTGTATCCATTCTTTCGTCAAAAGCAAACTCTCATTTGGATCCTTTGGTCCCATGAAATAAAATATCTCATCCTTTCATACTTCTGTAAGTGCTACGGCACGTTACTGCAGCGCAAAAAGCCATATTACGTAAACGATACTTTACAATATAGAATTTAAAATAAAAACTGACTAAAATTACATATATATAAATTATTTTAAATATATACATTATTAGAAAACAGATATATATATTATTAAAATTATTTTAAATATATACATTATTAGAAAACAGATATATATATTATTAAAATTAATTTGGGATATGTAACCTCTAGAAAATCGTCTCGCAGCTCAATGAAACTACTGTTTTAAACGCGAGAAATCAGGACAGGTGGCATCACAGTGACGTCAGATTATTGCCTGTTACGTCCCCCCATTAGGCTCGCGTCGGCGAGGAGTCGAACAAAGAAATGAGCTAGCCCTTCTATTTATCCCTGGTCTCTCAGGGCCATTATGGGAAAGATTGCTAAAAGAGATAGTCAGTTGACATTAGCTTAAACTGCAAAGGAATTCACTGAAGCACCAGAAATATGACTATCCAAATATACAATGAGTGATAGGCTGCATAAAAAAGGGCTGTATGCAAGAAAATTGATCATTGGTGTCTCACTAATTTGGGCTGCAAAATGCACCCAGTCTTAGTGGTGCAGAGATAACATGACTGGAGTACCACGGAATGGAACTGAATTCTCTTTACTTTGATTTCAGACAAACTGCATTCTAGAGGAAGCAAAACACACACAATAAGACTGAAAATGTCCATGAAAGATATCAGTGTAAAGGAGGTAGAATAATGGTGTTGACAAGCATAGTTTTGAATAACTGCACTGACCTACACATCTTTAAAAGTGCAACTATGAATGCTGAAATGTCCAAACATCAGGTTTTTGATCCTTATGTGAAGTTGTTTATAGATGCAATCAATAACAACTTCCTTATGACTAATGACAAAGCTCGACTCCATCCTGCTACACTAATGACCAATTATTTTGAGGGTGAAGGAATCCAGGGGATGGAATGGTCTGCATATTCTCCGAATTTAAATCTGAGAGAACAAGAATATGATACTCTATCTTTTTTGCTCAATGCACACCTTTCACCATTGCTAGATCATTCCCTTCTTTTTTCCAAAGCTCAAAAAATAAATATATTATCTAGCTTTGGATGGGTTTTTTTTAGCACATTTTCTAAATTAAACAAGAAAAAGTGTAGAAAATGTTAATAAATACGAAATGTAAATAAAAAAGTCAAGTTAATGAGTTCTTATATATAATGAGTATATATATATATAATGAGTTATCTCAATCCTTCCTAGTCAGGTAAAATACTGTACATAGACAGATATTAGGTTTGAAATTAATATGAAGCAATAATTCAACAATTACAGGTAAAACTGGTTGAAACCTTTATTACTATTTTAAGTCTTTATTATTAATCTTATAGAAATTCGCACACATAATTATACAAAAATCAGTATGAGAGGCAAAAAAATTTACAGTTTTTTTCCAAATTATTAAAAACAATAAATATGTGTATGCATTTGGGAACCAGGAAAGATCAAAGAAATAAATTTTTTGCATACCTTAGAAGCCCATATTGATTGTTCCAGAGGATGATAGAGTTTGAAACAAAAACCATCTTTTTTTGATGGCCTCTCTATTAATTCACAGGCATTTAATAACACAGTGCCAACCCATTGGCTGCTCTGAAAATTATTGAAACACACATATTACATACAAGGCTTATTATAGAATATAACAAATTAATGTATAAAAAATTTAAATCATAATGTACTTTATATTTATTACCTTGTGTGTTTTTGGACTTTTGTACAAAAGCAACAAACCAGGCTTTAAGACACACCATAATTTAGTCCATCCTTTTAAAGTTCCACGAACTTTTAACCAATCAGCAAGCACAATAATGGATGGATCTTTGAGTGTAGTAGATAATTCTTTAGCTACTCGCTTTTTTTCTCGGCGATAGTTCTTACGCTGTGCCTGCATATCACAAACATTATATTTTTTTTCCAAAGTAATTATTTTAAATCTAATTAATAAGTTACTATTTCAAATAAAATGGTTTCAATATAAAACTTTGTCTATAAAATATTTTAAGACAGTTGGAATTTTTAAATAATACTGTGTTAAAGAAAAGAGTCACACCGTGCACGGAAATGATAGAAATCAAAGTCTAACTGCTTTTAAGAATAACCATTTACTATAACAATTATATTAACTAAAAACACATTATTAAAATGAAATGTATGGATGTTTCTGTTATATATATATACATACATAGGTAAGATAAAAAATATGAAAAAAAAAACTTCTAATTTTAATTGGCTATAACCTCTTTTATTTTTTATTTAATTCGGGGACTTCCTCTCTCTGTCCTAAAAATAGCGCTATACGTCTAAACTGCATCATTCAAATTAATCATGCGATCTTACTTAACGCTTAATGTAGATGCCTCTTCTTCAATCACCAAACTGTAAGCCAAAACTTAAAACTGAAACTTTTGACTCCCTCCTTTCTTTCTCTGAAATGATACGTCACTTTTCACTTCAGCCTCTCTGTGGACTGCTTGGATGTAATTTTGCTGTGTTTGCTTCCTGTCACAACAGTTATAAAAAATGTAAATGTTCTTTAATAGGCACAAGTAGAGTGCCAAGTAAATTGTGGCCAGAAATGTGAATCTAAATAAAAAATGGAATTTATTCCGGTTTGACTGCTTCTTCTTCAAAATGGATGGATGCTCTAAGCATCAAATATCTACAGCATCAGTCTTTTTGCACATCTACATCTCAGTGTTCTTACATCATTCTTCTAAAACTGTGCTATCATTACATATATACAGTACAAAGTCTTTAATCCGGACTCGTTGGAACTTCAGCGATTCCGGTTTAGGCGTCTTTCCGAATTATAGATCATCAATTTAAATCTGGTAAGATGGCATGCAGGAATAATAAAATTAAAAATATGAAATCGTAATTTATGAAATAAAGAGCAATAAAGGGTATCAAAATAATAATAAAAAAAAGCTTAATATTTATTTCTTTACTTTATTAAACATTTCTTTCAATGTAAGTTGTTTAAGTTGCTTCGTTTTATGTGCTAATACTTTCTCTTTAATTCTATAAACAGACATAATTTCTTGTTCAGTTACAAAGTTCCGCTGTTGAAGTCCTGCAATTGCTGTGCCAATTATACCGACTAACTTGTCAATAGAAATTTTTCCGTTTTCACTAATCTCTCTGTCACTTTCTTCATGCCTTTATCCATTTTTGCAGCAATTCCACTTTTTGTTTGATGGACATCGAAACATGCTTTCGTTTTGCAGATCCTTTGGCAGCTCCAGAATCGGAAACTCTTTTTGACATAATCGAAAGTTTAAGCTTACTTTTTATAAAATTGCTCTAACAGTATACAAAAAATAATAAGCCGGATCCAATTAGAAGATTAAGGAACAACGCAATCTGCAACATTAACTGAAATAGATAATTAGATAATTTTAGCCAAGCTTATACCGTCCGTTATACATTAAACACATTATGTATTTACGCATGCGCAGAAAGTTTGCAGTTTTGAAGTCTGGATTATAGATCATTTTAGATTATGGACGTCCGGATTAAAGACTATGTACTGTATATAACACAGAAAATCAATATTGTATACAAATACCAAAGAAATTTAACACACCTGTTAAGAAAGAGTGCAAAAGTGACATATTATGTATATATGCAAGGTCAAAAATAAGAAAACAAATTATTAATTTTAATTTTCAATAGATCCTTTATTCTTCATTTTAATTTAGTTATTTCTCTCTCTATTCTAAAACTAGTAATAACTTATTCTGGATTAATCCATTATAAGACTTTTACATAATGATGATGATGTAGCTAATTTCAAACCTAAACCAAATCTTTTCTCTTATTAAGCTTCAATACTGGATAACTAGAGTGCCAAATGATCACAAATTTCAACTGAAAGAAAAAAAAAAAAAAAAAAGAAAAAAAAAGAAAACATTTAACGTGCCTCGGTTGTCAAGTTCGTTCTTCATTCATGGATTAACATCTCATATATATACACACAGAGAGGCATACAATAGATAGAGGAAACCCATACAGAAACAGACTCTGATTATCAGTCTAGAAATAAGGAAAGCAGTACATTAAATAGTTTCAAATGTAAAAATTTCAGCTCTTTCATGCAGCTGATAAAAATGGCTGACTTTACTCAAAGCATTTATCTTTCATCATGCAAGTTTAAGATAGAAATTAATGGTACTTTTTCGTTTTGCCGGCGCAAGCGATAAAGTCGCCAATAATGGTACAACCGATGCCAAACGGAATATTCTCGCTGGTAACCTTTTACTTTTACGCCTCATTTTTAAAACAAGTCGCAGCTTTTTCTTATCAGATTGATTGTTTCTTTCAATACTGGTATATAATTACATAGAATTTTTATCAGATAGTTCAGTTTTATGTCTAAGGCCATTTTCGGTAATTAAGTGAATTAGAATGCAATCACAGCGCTTTCCCGAAGGCGAAAATATAGAAAAGGTAAAGTCAAGGGTTAAATTCATCCATTCTAATGAGAATGCACTAGCGAAGTAAAGCACTGCAGTTTTATATAATTTCTGAGTAAGCTATTCGTACGAATTGAAATATTTCTTGCATTTAAACTTTTGTTCCACATTAAGATTTAACTTGAAATTAATATAGATGATTACTGAGAGCATTAGATTTTTGTAGAGTAGTTTACATGAGATGAGATCGCTTGGGGTCACGTGATATGAACCGGCGAATCAGGATGTTGAACCATGTAACATAGTAAATTTTTAAATTAATGTCTTTTTACAAATTTATTGTCTTTATTTATTGGCTTTTTATAAAATTTTATGCAATATTAAAATGTTTATGCCTTCAAAAAACGAATTCTTAGAACTAACATTTTTTAAATATTTTTTATGTGTATACTGTATGTTGTCGCCAATAAAGTCTGCTTGGCGAGATTTGCACTGGCAAAACGGAAAAGTACCAAATTAATTTTCATGCAGATTTTATTACTTTATATGAAAGAAACTTTGCAGAAATAAGCAAAACTTTGGAAAATAAAGTCTGTCCTCATCTGAGAATGTGCATTCAATTAAGTTTGCAATTCGCAAATATAATTTAAGTAGCTTTATAATTCTTTAGCAGGAGAATAAAGCTGTAGAATACATCATTAAACAAATAATGCAGAATAAAATTTATCTGTATTAGAATAATAAAAGACACTCAAATGTTCATGATACTGTGAAATTTTAAACTGAATTTTTTGGCATATTAAAAAAATTCCAAGTAAATGAAAATGATACAGATATAAAATGGTCCCTCTCTTTTTTTTAATAACATGTATAAATAATATTTTAGTGCTAAAAGTACTAAATAACTCAAATTAATATAAAGCAAACTCAAATGGCATATTACCTTATAAGATTCTCTTTTATCAAATTTTGAAGCTGAGGTTTGTTCTGTAGCGACATCACCCTGAAAGTACATAAAATAAATATAAGAACAAAATCTAGCTTTTGTAAAAAATTGTAATTTCTTGCCAATGGCACCGAAATCTACATAGTTAGCCTTTGAGGTACAACTCTGATATACGCCCTAATTTCACCAAATGTGGCGATATGTATTCTGCGCTGGTTTTTGGTGCAATTGCGTGTTGTATGGCAACCCTGTTGAAAAATCTTTCGCTGGAGTTTGTTGGTTCGCGTCATGCTTTGTGTCTAAGAAGCTAGGGGGGAAAGATAAAATGGTGGATGTTGTTTAATCTGAAGGAAAAGGAAAAGGAAATATCGTTGTGGCCATCCTGTTGAGGGGCAGTGGGTATTTGGAGGTGTGTAAAGAGGGTCTGGGAGATTATTTTTAGTGGCCGTGCATGATAGAAGTAGGGATTTGTGATTATTTTTTATTTTATTTATTTGTGAACCATAGTATGAATTTTCTGGATAGTGTGTCTGGCTGTCATATAAATACGATAGTGATTACGTGGCGGCATGTTAAAGGCGGTATGAAATTGATATTTCTGCTGTACGAAAAAGCATTAATCCATGGTAAGTGCCTTTTATTTTATTCTTGTTCTTATTTTGTAGAATGTTATGTTCATTGTATTTTTAGTATGAATTTCTGTCGTTATTGTTGTTTTTTTGAATTGTTTGAAATTTATTTTAGTTATTTTATTGATTAGTGCATACCGTCTAAATTGTGCAATTCGTAGATGTTTTTTAAAGTTGAAACAGAATGCTGTATACATGGTATTCTTTGAAATTTATTGTTGTTATGTTAATTTATTAAAATGAGGTGTGTGTAATTTGTAGATTCGTTTGTTGCCTAAACTGTGCAATTTATAGTTTTTTTTTTTTTTTTTTTTAAGTTGAAATAGGATGCTGTGTACATGGTATTCTTTGAAATTTATTGTTATGTTAATTTATTAAAGCGAGGTGTGCGTAGTTCGTAGATTCGTTCATTGCTTAGACTGTGCCATTCATAGATGTTTTTTTAAGTTAAAACATATCGCTGTGTACATAGACTCTTGTCAAATAATTTTGGTTAGAAACTTTAAGGTTTTGCTATCTAAATTTTTTGTTTTCGTTTCGAACTTTTAGCTTAAATTGTGTGTTCAAAACGTTGGAGTCATTTTAGGCTTAAAGTTCGAAATGTAGACAAAAAATTTAGATAGCAATATGGCAGCGTGGAGTTTCTCGCCAAATATATTTGGGGACTTGAGGGCGCATATCAGAGTAGTTCCGCCTTTGGTAATACAGTTTTAAAATGCACTTTTTTAAAAAATTGCGAAGTTATAAATTACTTCTTACAGGAAATTAATATAATTCAAGTAAATATACTTTTGTCACAAAAACAAATGAAAACATTTCAGTTATGAAATGTCAGAAGAACATCATAAAATAATAAGCTTTACAACATGCAGCTAAAAATGTTTCAGTTATGAAATATCAAAAAAATGCCATAAAATATCATAAAGTAATAAGCTTTAGAACATACAGCTTTATTTTATGAAACAAAAAATTCAGTATTTAGAAAGATCAACAAATAACTTATTCCTAGTACTTAATACAGTCAAAAGTCGTTAATTCGGACACCCATAATCCGGACCTCAAAAGCTACAAACTTTCTGCGCATGCGTCGCTTTGACGCATGTGCGTAAGACCTTTACGGCTGCGAATATGCGTGTGTGCATGCACAAAATACGTTTATGCATGCGCGTTTAATGTATAACAGATGGTATAAGCTAAGCTAAAATTATCTAATTCAGTTAATGTTGCAGATTGTGCTGTTCCTTAATCTTCGAATTGGATCCGGCGGCTTATTATTTTTTGCAGACGGTTAGAGCAATTTTATAAAAAGTAAGCTTGAACTTTCCGATTATGTCAAAATAGAAGTTTCCGATATATATTTACTAATGGAGCTGCTAAAGGATCTACAAAGCGAAAGTATGTTTTGAAGTCCATTAAACAAAAATTGGAATTGCTGCAAAAAATGACCTAACCATTTCAAAATCTGTTTATCAATTTCACGCTGCTCTACGATGGGAAGGGGGACGCCACGGCGCACAATGAATTGGAAGTTGATCTGTCAGCACTATCCTTATCTTCAGGGCAGATGTTTTCATTTTATTTGGCTTATAATTCCTTACTAAATGTAGTATTTCATCTCGATGTATTCCGTCTTTCATACGATTTAAATCAAATTCCTCTTCATTATAATTCACTTCCGATAGTGAAGAAAGTTACACAGAGGTTATTGAAAACAAAAAAATTTCGATTGACAAATTAGTCGGTATTCTCGACACATCAATAATAGGACTTAAACAACAGAACTTTGTAACTGAACAATAAATTATGTCTGTTTATAGAATTAAAGAGAAAGTATTATCACATAAAACGAAGCATCTTAAACAACTTACACTGAAAGAAATGTTTAATAAAGTAAACAAATAAATATTAAGCTTTTTTTTTTTTTTTTCTTTTGTAAATTTTGATACCTTTCAGATCATAATTGTTCTTTATTTCATAAATTATGGTTTCATATTTTTAATTTTATAATTTCTGCATGCCATCTTACCAGATTTAAACTGATGATGTATAATCCAGAAAAATCGATAATCCAGAATCGCCGAAGTCCCAAAGAGTCCGGATTAACGACTTTTGACTGTATAATAAATACATGCATACACATTTTACATGTTTCTATTTATTAAATAACTTTTCATCAGTTTAGTATTCCTACCAAATATTCTTTTTCTCATAACAATCATAGTTTTTGAAATTAAAATGTACTGCAGATTTCAAGGGGGAAGAGGGGATAAAGTCTCTTTTAGGTGATATACATACGTACACACATAAATTTATCCTATCTAACATCTGATAAAATGTGCCACAAAAAACTGAGTGTAAAACAAATATTTCAGATCTTTTAACAAAAGAAAATATACTAATAGAAAATATACTAAGTGCAGGCAATTTTGTAGGAAATGATTAATCATCGAGGGAATTTTGAATTTGAAGAAAATCATACACATCTCTGTTGTTACTGGTTTACATTTTTGTAAATATTTTAGTTTATACTGCTGATTTGGCGAATATGCAAAAGATAAATGATGCAAAGCTACATTTTGTTATTCTATTATTAAAAAAAAAAGAATTGAAACCGTGCTTTTTTTTAATTAAAAAAAATTCTGCATCACAATGAAATTCATATTCAAACACGTTCCTAGAAAAAAAAAAATTCTCCATTAAAATAACAAAAACCTTGTTTAATCACAATTCACCAAACCTGAAACTGTGGTTCAGTTGATTCTGCACTCTGAATGATATCCTGTTTCAATACTGTAAAACCTTCAATTACAAGTACAAGTAAAATTGGTTATGAATGTTCTAAAAGATGAGCAAAAGTTTTAATAAATTAAAAGTTGGGGTTAATCTATACTTTGGGGTTCCCCTTAGATTATTGCCAAGCTATTGTTTCATTTATGGTAACCTGAGTATTTTATGTTTTGGAAATCCTATCATGACATGATTAGTTGTAATGCATGCGCACTGATTTTGATTGTTGGGAGAATATTTCTCAGGCTTATTTCTGTGTTGGATGTCAGTTAGGAAATGCATTGCTTATTTTGTGCTTTACACCATAAAACGGCTGCTGATGATAAGATTAATCTAAAGTTTCTGTATGATTTGGAAAGAAAACACTGATTGCCTGGTGTTAACTGAAAGCTTAAATGGCTTTGTTCACCTCTCAGTAAATCACGCAGTGACATTTAAGGATCTGGAACCTGGAGCTCATATCAACACTATCAAAGGTATGTGGGTGTAATGAAAGGAATTTTCAAAAGAAATGCCACCCATAGTCTGGCACTAAGGAGGACATATTTTATTCTTACTTTTATGAATTTATGTATTGGTGGTAATATACAGATTCTAGTTCAGATAATTTTAAACAGATTTTGGACACTGTTACAGAATTCTCTGCGACACACACCAAAGACACAGAAATTTCTAAATAAAGTAAGTTGATACTTCTGTTTTGTACTGTACGGATTACATAACATGTATTTCCATTTTTATGTTATTTCCTTGTTTTATTTTCATTTAAAATGCATTTTAATGAAATCCTAATTTTTTTTTTATGTTTTATTGCATTATATTTTGAACACCATTTTACTTGGAAGGGTCTTGCATGTAAACAGGTATGCAGCAAAAAAATTGCCAATTTTTGCCGAGGGGAGACCCTGAAATACATTTTTCCTGAAACTTGTTACATGTGCAAGATTTTGCAATATGAGTAATACATACAGTCAAAAATCGTTAATTTGGACACCCATAATCCAGAATGATCTATAATCCGGACCCCAAATCTACAAACTTTCTGCGCATGCGTCGCGTTGACGACTTTACGGCTACGCATATGCGTGTGCACATGTGCGTTTAATGTATAACATATGATATAAGCTAAAATTATCTAATTTCAGTTAATGTTGCAGATTGCGTTGTTCCTTAATCTTCAAATTGGATCTGGCTTATTATTTTTTGAAGACCGTTAGAGCAATTTTATAAAAGTAAGCTTGAACTTTTGATTATGCCAAATAGAATTTCCGATGCTGGAGCTCCCAAAGGATCTACAAAGCGAAAGTATGTTTCGATGTCCATAAACAAAAAGTGGAATTGCTGAAGAAAAAAAAAAAACGCCGTGGCGCACAATGAATTGGAAGTTGATCTGTCAGCACTATTCTTATCTTCAGGGCAGATGTTTTATTTTATTTGGCTTATAATTCCTTACTAAATGTAGTATTTCATCTCAACCGTACAATATCCTCAATGTAATCCGTACAGTACAACTTACATTGAAAGAAATGTTTAATAAAGTAAACAAATAAATATTAAGCTTTTTTTTTTTTTGTAAATTTTATAACCCTTTAGGTAGATATAATTGTTCTTTATTTCATAAATTACGGTTTCATATTTTTAATTTATAATTTCTGCATGCCATCTTACCAGATTTAAACTGATGATCTATAATCCAGAAAAATCGATAATGCGGAATCGCCGAAGTCCCGATGAGTTCAGATTAATTACTTTTGACTGTATATACTTTGCCTGCTGAGCTTCATATGATCATAACTGAGCAGATGGTGCTTCACTCTCTTGTCGGGAGATTTTGATGACAAAACTTATAATTTGTTTGAGTTTTCGGATGTAAATTTGAGAGTTTTTTTTATGAACAAGACTTGCAACATATCAATAAAATTATGTTCTTGGAAAAGGCTATGGAACTGGAAGTGAATGAAGATGACATTTAAGAGTTGGAGGAACAATAAGGCCAGAAGCTGACCATCAACTGATAAATCTGTGTCGCCAGCAAGAGTTTCAGAACATTTCATTCAATAAAGGGGAAAGATGGAACAATTCATAAAATGGAATTCTAGCATCACGTAAAATATAAAAAGAGTACAAAATTTTGTCACACAACCTGTATAAGAATATAACAGTGCATGTGATGTATCTGTTTATGACATATGTCAAATTTCTGTGAAATGCTCAAAAGAAGTCAGAAACAAGTGTCATTGGACAAGCCTTATGTTAAAGTCATACAGAAAAGAAATGATTCAGTGAGCGGCTAAATGACACTGTTTTTGTTAGCTTTAATTTTCTTTAAGTGTAAGGTGCAATTAGTAAAGTTAAATCACTAGCAACCTTAACAATTCAGCTGCTGGTGGGATCAAACTAATGAAGAGGAAAGAAAGGCAAGTAAAAACAGGTATGCATACCAAGTGTAAAAAAACAACAACAAAGGAATACTATAGGGTAAAGCATTAAACTCGATTACATATTTAAATGATACAAATTAAGGAATTGGGCAAAATTCTCTTCCAGGGAAGTGTATGAATATCCAATGCTATTTATTTGTTTGAATGCGACATATCGCAAACAGGGTTATCTGCTCAAAGGGAGTGACACTTTTTTAAGGAACTTTCTAAGATTTGGTTTATTTGTTTACGGCAAAGCACTCATGGGCCATCTGCCTAAGGGAAGAATGCCTTCATAGAGGGCTTTCTAAGGAAAAATTGACTCATATTAACAAATTACACATGGGAAAAACCACAAAAATGCCCATACAGCCAACCTGTTCACAGGATTCGAACCTCAGATAAAACTACCAGTGTTCAATCACTCGTGGGCTGTAGGACTTTCTAAGGAAAACTGCATTGTATTGCTCAATGAAAGGGTCTGTTAATATATAAGATACAAGAAATTTTATTTTAGTATGTTATATTTTTTATTTAATATTTATAATTAGATACGAAATTCTGCCTTCTCTTTTTATTTTACACTGTTGATACTTATAGTAAAGCCTTTTAAAGTATTTATAATGTAGATCTTTAATATAATATAAAAGGTACTTTTCCGTTTAGACGGCGCAGGCAATAAAGTCGCAAATTAAGGTACAACTGATGCCAAACGGAATATACTCAATGGTAACCTTTTACACCTCATTTTCAAAACAAGTCGCAACTTTCTTTCAATACTGGCATACAATTACATAGGATTTTTACCAGATAGTTCAATTTATGCCATTCGCGGTAATTAAGTCAATTAGGATGCAATCACACCGCTTACCCGAAGCCGAAATTATAGCAAAGTCAAGGGTTAAATTCATTAATTCTAATGAGAATGCACTAGTGAATTAAAACACTGCGGTTTTACATAATTTTTTAGTAAGCTATTCGTATGAATTGAAGTAATGTTTGCATTTTAACTTTTATTCCAAATTAAGATTTATTTGAAATCAATGTAGATAATTACCGAAAGAATTAGATTTTTAGAGCATAGTTTAAGTGAGATGAGATCACTTGGGGTCACGTGATATGAACCGGCAAATCAGGATGTTGAACAATGAAAGCATAGTAAATTCTTAAATTAATGTCTTTTTATAAACTTATTGTCTTGTTTATTCCGTTTTTTTTTATAAATTTATTGGATTTTTACAAAATTTTAAACGATATTAAAATGTTTATGCCTTTAAAATAAAAAAATCTTAGACCTAACATTTCTTAACATCAGTAAAAGTAGGCGGCCAGTGCAACTCTGATTAAAAATCTAGTTATAACCACGTGCAGTGCTGATAAGCACCACGTGTTTCTGTGATTCCTATTTTCTTCTTTCTATGTATTTCTTTCTCCTGATGAGGAGGGACCTTTAGCTGCCCTCGAAATCGATTGAGTGTTTCATTATACCTACGCTAAATATAAGGTTGTTTTTTACGATTTTGATTTCTTAACATATTTTATGTGCATACTGTATGTTGTCGCCAATAAAGTCTGCTTGACGAGATTTGTGCATGCGAAAAGGAAAAGTACCGAAATAAATACAAACCTTAGGAGATGTACTTGGTGTACTGGAAACCTCCGAAAATCGAGGAGTCATTTGCTGTTCCTCAGTTAAATCATGACCTAATGAGGGAAAAAATAGACAAATGAAATAAAAAAATTTACAACATAGATCAGTTTTATTTTCTAAAATATAATACTAACTATAACTTACTAAACCACCTTCAGATGATCACGTCTTCTTAGTATTTCTTAGAACAAAAACACTGATATTGAACTTCCCCACAATTAAGCAATTATTTTCACATAATATAAAAATCAAAGAAATAATATGTTTTAATCAATGTAAAACTGATAATTATTTACACAGGTAATTAACTGAAATGTTACACTAAAATCCACTGGCTGAAATATCTGGTTTAAGATGATATTGAACATTTTGAACCTAGATTAATAATGGCGAACCACACAATAAACTTAAAAAAGCTTAATCTTAAAATTTGAAGTTCAAATAAATAATTTCACAATTCCCTAATAATAATCACCATATAAATCAACAATCCTCATGACATATATATGTTTAATAATAACAGGTGTAATTATGCAGATAAAATCCAAATTACAATAATAACAAAATGAAAAACAGCAATTCAAAGCAAATGCCTGATTTCAAGTAAGGGTGGGTGTTGTGCATTTTGTTGCCTAGTGCCTCCGAAATTTTACACCTCTAAATTCTGCCACTGTGGCATTGTGTCTGCTCTCAGGTAAAAATATAACACATAGTTTTGATAAAAGAAAGCGAGGACAGTAACAAAATTCCGTATTACAACATAAGAAAAAAGTATTATAACTATAAAACTAATCATTCATATTGCTCTCTCTATTTTGCTTGACACAAAAGAGAATGCCTAATTTATTTTGACATACTGTCTCACAAAACAGTTAAGCTTTCAAGATTTTAATGACTAATCTGAATAATCATTACATATAAAAACATCACAAGTAATATTATACAAATCAAACTTTCTCTGTATGTCATCATTAAAAAAAGTTCTGCAAAAAAGTTCATTTTTCTATACAGCTATAATATTTTTAATTATGAAACTTGAATCCTTAAACTCCAACTGCAAAATATATTACATGCTACAATATCTGTATATAGCAAAAATATATTTAAAGTTTGTTATTTTTAGTTTTCCAATACAAAATTTTTATTTTTTAAACACAAAGAATACAGCAGTAGAGGTAAATGTTTAAAGGGACTAATTCTAAATTCAAAATAAGAATTTAGGGACAATTATTTAAGCATAATCCAAAGTTACTTATAATTCCTTTTAATCACCTTATCTATTAAACATGTAAACAACTCACTACAACCACCTTCAGATGATCACGTCTTCTTAGTATTTCTTAGAACAAAAACACTGATATTGAACTTCCCCACAATTAAGCAATTACTTTCACATTATAAAAATCAAAGAAATAATAGAAAACATTAATAACCCCCCCCCCTCCCCCCCCCCCCCCCCCCCCCCCTCCCCCCCCCCCCCCCCCCCCCCCTCCCCCCCCCCCCCCCCCCCCCCCCCCCCCCCCCCCCCCCCCCCCCCCCCCCCCCCCCCCCCCCCCCCCCCCCCCCCCCCCCCCCCCCCCCCCCCCCCCCCCCCCCATGTAAAACTGATAATTATTTACACAGGTAATTAACTGAAATGTTACACTAAAATTTACTACATTAAAATTATACAGAAACATTCAAACGCATACAATATATTATTATCGCTTATCCCGCCAAGTCAACTTCGAAACTTTCATAAACTTAAAATATACAATACAAGGAATTAGTTCTTTACAATTTAAAAAGAGTATAACAAACATGCGATATACGAGTAGCACAATCAAAACAGTATTAACAGAAACGGAACCACAAATTATGCAGACTTTGTATTGACATTCACTCACCGAATGAAGTTGGTGTTACTGCCATCAAAAAAACAAGAAGCTACGCTGAGTACTCAATAATTTGTTTAGCAAGTAACAGCAGTATCATTTGCACTAAACTTCGGTTGAAAGGTTTGTGATGCACTTTACCTCCCATAATGGTCTGTTTTACAAAAATACGAATTACACACAATGCGAAATCGAACACATTGTAAAAGGCGGGCCGAAGTAACTTTCACCCTTCTTTTCCGGCTTTCCCGTGAAAACTAAACTGCAGGCGAGCCGAATGACGTAAGAGCGCACACGGGGAGCTCCTCGCTTTCCACCAATGCCGAAAGGATTTGGCTCGTTTGCGCTACACTCTTGCGTGATTTGGCAACGATGGTCGCTATGGAAACATCCCAAAAAATGCGGTTTCGTCGCGCTCCCCTCAGTAGCATCCGTCCATCCATCCCCACATCCTGTAAGCAAAAGAGAGGTCCCAGCAGCAAACAGCTCCTGGACAATCTACCCAACATCCTTACCATTTTTATCGCCCTCCTCAAGTGGGAAGTGGGGGCAAGAATATTTTTAGGAAGCAGGCGAAAATGAGTTTCCGTATTTTTATTCGACCGCGTCGGAATGGTGAGAAAATGATTGATCCTCCGGTCAGCGGCTGGAAAAAGGTGAAAAATGGAATAACTGAGATAAAATTTTTGCTTCTTTATCAGGAAATATATCAGAAAATTCTGAATTCCAGATTTTGGTGGTACTTATTTGGTGGTATGAATCAGTCTTCTCAACTTTTCGTAATGTTTATTTGCATTATTTATAAGTGTATTGTTAAATATAACACTACATAAAAATGAAGAACTTTATATACAAACATACATATAATATAAAAGCCTTTTTTCATTATCCGTTTAACTTCTCTGATTCTCTCAAACAAATAGTTCGTTTCAAAATTTCCCAATGTGAGGTTACATTTACGGCTGAATCTAACTTGAAAAGTGAGTACGCGCGTCTAACGTTAACATTCGGAAAGGAACGGAAGGTTATATATCAACATATCATATCTACTATTCTGTTTTATAAAAATTTTCTTCAATATCAATCATTTAGTTTCTCTTCCAATATGCCATTTTTCTCAAAGAAACTTAAATCTATACTGAAGAAAGTTTCAGAGCTTTACAACGAATTTGAACATCAGACATTATTTTAAATAAAGTAAAAAAGTTTCGTACACAGATCTTTATGCATACGTACGCTGAGAAGAGAAAATTCGATCTTCGGAAGGAAATGCGCAGTGTAACTACTGTATGATCTGATCTTTTAACGTCTAGAAGAAAAAAGTAACAAACAAAAAATTAAAGCAAGCAAAATCTCATTTCATAATTTGACGGAAATATGCGTATCTTACAAGCTACTATATGGCCTGAGATTCTGGAGTGTTTTTAAATCTCATCAGGTGATAATGGCCCAAAGGTTAAAAAAACACTGATTAATATTCTCTTCAGAAACTGGCCTTGCTGAATAAACTTTTCATAACGCATGAAGGCCACTAAAAAGTAAAGTATATCCCAGAAAGAAGTGATGAAAAAGAACAACACACATGTGATATCAATGTGCTTATTGCACTGCGATTTACATAGCTTAGGTCAAGAAGTTTGGCGTGGAGAGGATTCGATCTCTTTAAATTTGCGTGCCGAATTACAATGTGACTAGATGATATCTAGGTCTATCAGATATAGTCCGAGCTACAAATGGCAGTAACATAGAGGTGTATTAAAACTTTTTGAATTCTACTTTACAGCTGTACATAAACCCTAATGCTGTAAACACATTAACTTTGCATCACTCTTTCCCGAACAACTTATACAACTACTCGATCAGTTACTTGATTTAGTAGTATAATGCAGCGCTTCTCAAACTTTGGTTCCCAAACCTGCCAAGTGGCACTCTCATATATTTTTTTGGGGAGGGGGGAGTCAAACTAACTGCGTACATTGCATTATACCAGAAAATCTCAGAGTCTGAAAATTAATACGTGACAATCGTCTATCACTTCTTGTCCCAAGACTGCCATTTTATGAATTTTATTACTGGCTGTCTATCGGAGTTCACAGTCTAGTTCTTACAAGAGGGATTTCAAGCTCTATGACTGCAGTGCTTCTCGTTTCTTCGTTTGCTGCACACCTGGCGCAGCTGTGCTCATTACAAGTAGAAAAGGAATGTAATGAACTGTGCATTTGTGCTTTAAAAATTATAGTTAATTTACTTCTCTTGGGTTGTTCGGAAAGTAATTTAGTTTTTTCCCAACAGAGGGCTTAATTGTATTTTTTCCACAGCCAACTTCACACTTAAGTGACCAGCGCGTTGCGCAGCTGCACCACTCCGGGATTCGATTCCCGAGCTGGGCAAGGTTGATTCAGCCTTTCATACCTTGAGTAGGTAGAAAGAATTACTACCAAGTCCGCTTGGGACTAATCAACGGGGGTCCTGCGACAAGTTGATCACTTGCCCAGGGCATATGCTGATGCACTCCGGGGCTCGAGGTCAAGAAAGCAGATTTCGGGGCACTGCAGGCTGTGGTTCCCTAGGGTTGTTGCGCCACTGAGTTTAGTTTAGTTTTTTAAGCCGCATAGTCATTAGATATTTTGACAGCTGATATAACAAGGCTTGTTTGTGAAAAAGTTCGATTGATTCTACGCAGTAGTTTTTGGATGGTGCCCTTTCAAATATGGAAAGTGAAAAGCAGAGTTTTTGTCATAATGTAAAAATGCTGTTCAAGCAAGAAAAAATTTATCCGATGTGTATGGAGAAGACGTATTGACAGACGCTAGTGCTAAAACTGGTTTTCAAAATTTCGATCCAGCTATTTTGTTTTTGAAGATGCACCACGTTTTGGAAGGTCAGTTGAAACTGATACAGAGCTTAAGAACATGAGGAACCCTTGAGTGGAGCTCTGAGATTAAACCTAGGCGTTTCAAATGACCATAAACAGTCGAATTCGTTAAATTTAATCTCTCAGCAATCTTACGAGTTGTTATTCGCTGGTTTGTATCAATTAATGCCTTTATTGTGTTTTCATCCGCTTCAACTGGCCTTCCAGAAAATGCTGCATCTTCAAGATCAAAACTGCCGGATCGGGATTTTGCAAACCAGTTTTGGCAGTGGCATTCTGTCAATACATCTTTTCTGTACACTAA